TTCAACATTAAATTGTCACGCAGCTGACAAGCAATAAATGAAGACACAACCAACACAACACAACGCAGACATCGCCACACTCCCACCCCCCCCCCCCCCTCCCCCATACCATCCGCACAGCTCCTCACTCATCGCTTGAGCACATCGCATCACTAATGCGCTTTGCATAACTTTGTCAGGCAGCAGTTGATTTGTTTATTAGCAGCAACTCTGAAAGTGAGGCTTCGCAGCGCAAAGTTGCAAGTTGAAAGTTGGCGCCGGCTGCTCCAAAAGTGACAGACAGGCAGCAGCAGGAGGGGCTTAGTTAAAATAACTAAAAGTGATGAGCGCTTGATAAATAAAATGAAGTGGTTGTGCATGCTTTCAAATATGAAGACGCACCAGTTGGCTACTTGAGTTGCATTCCAAAATCTTTTAAATCTGCGTTGTTATCCTTCTTGAAGGACCCCCATTGGCATTTAACCAGCACTTAAGTACTGAAAGAGGCCTCAAAATATTTAGATTGTGTCGATAAGTTATATTGCTCACGTTCATCAAAATTAATTGAGCACACTTCGTTCGATCCAGAAACTTGTTGTGCCAGCACTTTATTGTTTAACAACATTTTAGTGCTAAAGTTAGTGATAGGCAAATGACTATTTTAATATTTTTAATGAATATTGTTAATAATAAATATTATCAAAGCAGATGCTTGCATTTTTGATGCACAGAATTGATTCGATTTGTTGTGTAATATCCAAAATATTTCAATTGAAATGGGATATTCAAGTATTTGAAAGGCCAAACCTCAAATAAGGTAATAGGGTAATGGAAAAATAAGATTGGAACAATCGAGCCGTCTGCAAAGGTGTCTCATAGCTCAACATTTTTAACATTCACCATGTGTTTTAATCTATTATTAAAGTAATTGTGTTCAGAAGCATAAAAATTTGTTTTAAAACCGCAGTTTGAATTATATAACCAAAACTTCAACGTGCTTAAAATAAAATCAAATAATTTTACCCCGTCGACAACTGGTTGCAGGATGAAAAAAGGCTGAACCACAAAATGTTCCATGGCATAAGCATATATGCAGCTGGATAGCTGGACCACATCACGTCTCTAATGTCGCTAGCCGCCCACATTTGGGCGTTGCGGTTGACCGTAAAACGAATAAGGGACATGAATGTCGCTTGAGCCGGAAATATGCCAATGGAAAGCGACAACGGCAGAAACCGCATCTGGATTTTGGCGACCATTTTATTGTGTAATTTAAATTTATATCGTCGCTGAATTTTTGGCTTTGCGCTCTGCTTTGTCTCTGGTTGTCGACGTGACCGCAAAGTAGCAAATCATTTTGCAATTCTTGCAGCTGCAACATTTGCGAGTCAACTTCGGCGGCTTATGGCAGTCTAGCGAGGCGTATACGTAATATTCAACGAAAAACAGAGAAGCATAGCAACCGAAAAAGAATTGTGCCATTAAGTCAAAAAAAAAACAAACAAAAAATGGAATTATGAACGCAGGAAAGTTTGCACATTGCCAACGCATAAATCGCATGGCCAAAAGCAAACAAATAAATAAATGAATAAGCCAACAAACAATGAAATAAATACACACAGGGAGGCATGTCCTCACGAGGGACACGCACACGCCCACACGCCCATACGCCCATTTTGTGTGCAACACGTAAATTTTTGACCATAAAACTTTAACAACCGAAGCAAAACACAAAACAAAGCCAAGCAAATAAAACATATCATTCCCATTCATGTGTGGGTGTATGTTTTGTGCGTGTTCAGCGTGTTGTGCGTGTGGAATTGTTAGTTGTTGTCTGAGTTTTTATAAGAATAGCCAGCACTTTGTCCGATGGGTTGCGACAAACTGAAAAGAAAGATTGACCAACACGACTAATGACAAACAAGTACGAGTGCTGCAGTCGAGTGAGCTCGACTGCGATACACCCTGAACCCAACTGTTAAATCAATTATAGTTTTATTTGCTATAATTATTTTTATATATATTTTTTATCGTATTTTTATTACAGAATACGCTTGCAGCTGCTGATAGAAATCAGATCAACATGAGAATATAGTTTCGACTATACCTTATGTGATTCTTATCCAATCTTGATGAAATTTGGGAAGTTAAGTCAATAATATGAATATGCATATTATGTATTAATTAGAAGATTAAGCGTTTAAATTTTGAGCATATATTGCTATCGGAAATTGAACTGTATCGTTATTCGAGAAACGGATGCAGTTATCGATAAAATAAAGCAAAATTGAACTGCGCCGGGTATAAAAGAACCCATACTACAAATTTGAAGTCTCTAGTTCGACTTATCGATAAAATCAAATGAGTTTGATGTACGTGCGTTATGTGAGAGACTATTTTCAAAATTTCTATAGCTCTTATTGTCTCTGAGATATGTTTGTTCGAACAGACACACAGACAGACATGGCTAGATCAACACGTCTATAGATTCTGATCAAGAATATATATACTTTATCTAATCGAAGATGCTTTTGCCTGGTGTATCAGTTTGCACAACTTCATTATACCATTTTATACGCCTAATATCAAAATATAATAGATTAAAAAAATGGAAATGAGAGCTGCTAACGAGATAGGTAATCGAATGTTGTTTCGTGTCCATTTGTTTGTGTGTGTGTATGTGTGTGTGTGTGTGTGTGTGTTTATCATTTGTTGTTGTAATCATTGAGGTAATGTGTGATAAATGCAGCCAAACAAAAAATAACGCGTATTGCATTTGCCTGTTTCTGACAGCGACTTATTTGATGACATAGTGTGACAGGCATTTGAGCATCATTTCAATTGCACAAGGTAATAAATAAATAATGTGTAAATATGATGAGTGATGGACATGCATTAAAGTATGACTTGCATTTGTTTCGGCAATTGCATCTGAAAATCCAACTCCAAATGTGCGGAGTTGAACTTAGGCAATCATATACAGTTGGCAGTCAGTGAACATAAAAGCAATTCTATTTGACCGAAATGCACAAGCAATTAGCCAACAAGAAAAGATGGTCAACTTGTGACCAGTCGCAGGACTTGAATGCTTTACTTTGGAAGCGACTTGAATGTGCAATCAGCATTCCATTGCAGTGCTTTGTGCTGCACTTCCAACGGAATGCACTTACAATGTGGACAAGTGGCTGACACTTTCACAATGTCTTCGTATTGACTCTGGGCACCACATCAAGGGCTACATAAGTTTCGAATAGATTCTAGCGGACTAATGCCAAGGGAATATCGCAGACATTTTTTGCAGGACAATGTTTGAAAGATTCCTTAAGCTTTGAATACGAAAAACAGCGAGCAAAAAAACGCTTGCAAAACTTTTGACAGTTTAATTTTTACGTTCGGAGAAAGGTGAAACAACAACAATTTATGTTGTTGCATTCTAATATTATTCAAGAAAAAGAAGGTACCGATTCATTAATTCCTCTATTACCGTCCGGTCCTCAGTAGGAGAAGACAAGCGCCCCAACCTAACCATATATTGTTCAATGAAATAAGCTCATCAATTTGAATTTATTATATCTTCTGGGTTTTATTTTTGACCAATCCAATTTTCAATACCACAAAAGTAAGTTCATTTTCGGGTTTGCTTTTATCCGAATACCGCAAATTGAAAAGTAACAATATTTTCTGCACATCTAATCAATGGAATGGTCTAATCTTTTGTCGATAATACGCAAAAGTTCATAAATAAGAACATATGTAGATCTTCCGACTAAATGCTATATCCCAAATACATTTATCGCTCCTATCGAAATGCCCGAACTTCACAGCAGCAATATTCAAATTATTCCAATATATATATATTTATACATATATATATATGAAAATTAAATTAATTGTTGTTAAAACAGAAATAAATTGATTGATAAATTAAAAATATATTGATTCACACAAAACAACAAAAGGGTTCGCCTGCCCAGTTCTTATGCCAAAAAATATTGAAAATGTCCTTCGACTCATAACATTTAAAAGATATTTAGATATACTTTCGAAATAATAAGGTGAGCTATCCATGGTGATTTTCTAAAATTCAGGGCGATTCTTTTACTGAGTGAAGTTGCAATTGAAAAATGTCTTGGCGATGATCTTAACGAACTTCATTTATGAAACAGTACTATGAAATGAGTGTTGCACATCCTAAATAATTACTGAAACGATTTCCTTCTTTCAAATTTTGCTTATACACCATAATACACATTCGTGAAAATCTCAAAAATGTACCTATTTAATATAATTCAGCGATTAAATTTTTCTAAATGTTTCCCATTACGTATCACTTTTGACTAGATTTGATTTGATACAAAATACAATTATATGTATGTAGGTACATAAAAACTTATTTAAAGCGTTTTTATTAAAAATTAAAAATATGACAAAATAAATCAAATTAATGTGCGGACTTACATATGAGTTTTAAGCGCGTTGTTGTTGTCCCGGATAGAAAAAGCAACTAGCCAAACGACAGAGGTGTCAAAATATGAAATGCATGCACAATTTTACTAGGAACTATTACTACATTTTTTATTAAATTAAGCGACAGATCATGGCAATTGCCAGTTCGGTATTTTTTTAAAGCAGAACTCAAAGCTCGCAATTGCACATAATTCAATCAAATACAATTGAAATTGCATTAAAATTAATATCGTTTTAAATGTCAATCTAAATAATACAATAAAATATTACTGGATAATGTAATTATGTTATTTATAAATACACAGCTTGGTTAACAAAAGAATAGTTAGTAATGTGAGCATCAGAATGAGATCCAAACTGTCCATGTGATAGATAAAGATTGTTAGTTATAAAACCAAAACGATGATTATGGGATTAGTTGCGGGTGATGTGATCCAAACAAGGGCTCAACTCAAAAATTAGCTTTAGAATCAAATGGAAAATAGTTAAATATATATATATATATATAATTAATATCAAATAATACATAAAATAAAACATGATTAAACACTCACAACCGATTGGTACCTGACATTTGGGCAGTTCCTGTTCTGGCTGCTCTTGTTCATGTTTCTGTTATGATTGGTGTACAAGGAACGGTGGCTTCAATTCTTCTTTTTTTTCTGATTTTTTTCTGGTGAGCTCTTCACCGTTTGGATCAGGCGTATTTACTGGCATAATATGACGTAAAACTCTCTTCGGTATTTCCTGCCAAAACTCCTCCTCATCAAGTGGTAAATCTGGTATGCGTAATACTTCAAGCTCTGGATATAAGGGTGGGAGTGGGATTCGAAAAGGGCTTAGAAACTTTGTAACAGATTCATTGACATTCAAATCCATTTCCAGTTTATAAATGCCGTGTTATTGAGGAGAACTGTCTAGACATAAAAAAACACACCGAAAATAAAACAGCAAATAATATTAATAAACTAAATGAAGGAATAAATAAATTATTTACAATTCAAAATCATAGATAAATGTGCAACAAATTAAAAGAATATGTATTATATATGTAAGCTGACTGAATTCTTATCAGAGTCCTACCATATTATAATCATATTTTTTTAGTACAACCATCAGCTAATTGTAGTTCCAGGATCACATTCAAGTATTACATATTAGTATAACTCTACTTTCTCACAACCAACAACTGCGATACAAATCCATGTCTGCATAACAATAAAAAAAATTTGAAAAAAAAAAATGTAGAGCAGCTAAACACTGGCCACTCACTTATAATAAATAACACTTAGATGTTAACCTAATGCTTCCAGCAATTGGCGAAATACGCGAGAGGTGGAGGAGTACATTGTAACACACATATACTAAACACGCGCACATATAAAACACGAAATCTGCTTTAATGGCTTGCAAAAGGACAAAAGAACAAAACAAATGCAAAGAAAATAAATAAAATAATGGCGAAGATGGCGAAGACTAAACAAAAAAATTGAAAAACATATGAAAACGGTTTGCTCGACTTACAAATACTCTTAATGGTTGAGCCGAATCGATGGCATCAAGTCATATTTTGCTATAAAATTCGAAATTTAAAAATATGTAAACCACATTTTGTGTAATAAAAATTAATATAATAATTTAAGGCGTATAATTTGTAAAAATATGTTTAGCCTTGATGTCCATGCAGTGTGGGGTATCAAAGAACGGGCAGAACCCAATAAAATTGTTGGCTTTTAGAGAGCTGACTTTACATATGTTAAGGCATAAGGATACGTATACGGATGCGTGTATGCATATGTCAATTTTAATGCTGTATGTCTGTCCGCGCTTGCAATTTACATGTTCATTCATTTCTTTATGTGTGCGTGCGTTTGTATGTTTGTTGTGCTTGTTGTGCCTGTTGTCCCTTTTATGGTTGCTTCGCGTTGCCTTTAAGCCTTTTATATGTTGACGTCATCCTAAGCCCGACACCCAACCTTTCTCACACACCCACACCCACACCCACGCACACGTACACGCTCACTCACACTTGCAGAAGACATATGTGAATTTGCATTTTCCGCGCCCATCTATTTTACGTATTCTTCGCCTTATTTGCATGCGTTTTATTTTCGAGTCATTTTTTGTTGTGCACACACACACGCACACACTGTAAGGCAGCATAAAGACTCGTTCTATGGCTCCAGCTCCTTTTATTACACTTATAACACTGACAACTTTTTGTTGGTAAGTAGAACTGCGGCACCACATCACATCGCACCGCCGAGAGTGAATAAGCTCATATTGGGCTAATGCTCAAGAGTAGCTTATTTTACGTGAAAAAAAGCGTAGAGATCAAAAAGGGGCTGGTAGATGTTGGCTTTGGGTGTCAACAAATATAACAAGTTAAGTCTTACCGGCAGCTGACGTATGTCCGCTGGCAAAAAGTTTATTTCAATATACGAAATTTCACTCAAACCCAAATTCTCAACCAGTTTTTAACCGTTTTGACATCCAACTAACGTCAGTCATTTCAGAAAACATACCAGTTTTCGTAATAGTCTCAGTCGAACTTCTATTACCATTTTCCAATCCATTTACCAATATTCCCAATACTCAGATAGAAAATGAGTTTTGTGTAAACAAATAAGAAAAAACATTCTCGAAATTAGACAAATTTTTTTCAAATCTATAGAAAACTGTCTCTTGAAATTAAGAAAAGCAAAACACTTGCTTTTATAAAGACAAATCCTTGCGTTTTATAAATATATTTTGTGAATAATATGATGAGTTTTTCCTTAGTCTGTCTTTGTCTTTAAAGTTTCTTCGATTGTTGCTGGTGTGCAAAATATTTGTATTATTGTCTTTATTTCACATTGAATTTTCTGGGGAGGTGTCAGAGAGATGAACTTGATGAAAACAAAATTTAAATATGTTGGAGTAGGGAGAGACTCGGGCATGGGCAAGAGGAACCAAATTAGCATCGGGCTGCTAATACATACAACTCAGGATGCAGTTGGCCTTTGCTTGTCGCCTTCTCTCCGTTTGCGAGTTCAAATGGCCAATGGCAATGATATGTTTTGCGTGTTAATCTCAAGTGTCAAAGTGCATTCATTTCGTAAATAGAAAATTTCTGAAAACAGTTTAACCCTCATTTTATGCATTTAATTTACAATCTTTGCTAAATATTCTGAAATATCACGGAGCATGAGTTACTCTGCCAAGCATTATCATATCGTGTGAAATTATTAAATTTATATGTACCGATGATGGGTTATAGACGGGAATTCTTATTTTGCAGACTTTAAGTGACGCCGACTGACATCTGACAACTGACAACTGACTTGACATTGGCTCCTTAGCACTCCCAGTCATGACTTGTTCAATGGCATGGCATGAATGGGGAAGAGGGCGTACCATGGGTGTGCCATATTGTCAGATATGTCCTCGTTGATTGTTTGCTGCTCCTGTTGCTCTTTCCAGTCAAAATTAATGACACCAGTGAACCCAACGATTAAGTGATTAAGTGCTGCGACTCTAAGGAGATTATTGCCAGTATCAAATCATCGAAATGGGGTACAAATAGAATTAGGTGGGTTAATGTTTTGGGAAAAATGTAAATATTGTAAATAAAGCTATTTAGATGATTGTACGTCGGTAAATCCTGTCAGATTATGTCAAAGAGTGATACGTAAGAACTAGCTGGTTACATTTTGTAGGTGTCTAACAGTTTGGCAATGTTGAGACCGTGAATATAGTCATCAAATCGATACTCGATCTATGAATTTAGGCAACGCTTTCAGGGCCTATAACTTTGTTGCTATTTCATCGATAATCTAATTCGTACTAAATTCAATCAATATTCAAAATAAGGGATAAGTGAAAGTCGAAGTTGTTTGTTTTAAAATTAATCATTTATCATGGGAGGAAACTTATTCATAAACATCTTAATCTAATTTGTGATCAAATAGAACAGCAGTATTGTTAGAATAACTAATATTTGGATTATTAATTCACTAAGCAGCTTAGTTTTAAATAATATTGAACTTCAAGCTCATATGATTGGCCAGTTGTAGTGGATGACATTTGCGCGATCCTCGAGCATTTCTAACAATTAAGGTCACCATCTTGTTGTCAGTCACAAGCCGCTTCCGCTTCCGCGAACCATGTCATGGCGTTGCGACCTGCTGGTTGATTTGAGTACAGGGTCAGACCACTTGGATTATAGTTGGCCAAACATTGTTCATGTGTTTCACTTTCATTTTAGTTGAATGCGTTATTGTGCTTCTTTTTGTTAATTTTATACTTTGATAGCGAAGATTTAGGAGAAGAGTTTATTGGTTATGTTCAAAGCCCATTATTTTTCGACCCGTTTCAAGAGAGACTTAAAATCAATAAAGTATTAAGAGATCGGTCATAATCACGTCCATTGCCCCAGAAATTCGGCCCTAAGAATCAAAAATGCCTGTATCTTCCACATAGAATCACAAGATTGTTAAGGTATATTATCGGGACATTTCTTTAAGGATTATTATTATGGACACAACCATTAACACCCCCAAAACCGATATAACTGACACTGAAAATTGATAAGACCATATATGGAAAAATGGAAAAATAATTCTAAAGTTACCAAACTTTGAATTGGAACTACTAGTAACCTGCACCTAAGATTGATCACGACCCCAAAAATGATCTAAGCCCATATCTGCCGCAATTTGAGAGCTATAGATACCATATTTAGAAGTCTCACTAACGATTATGCTATGATTGAGGTAACATTTTAACAGCTGGCATAACATGGGTATCAGAGTATTCTGCAGTCGGTCATAGGCGACTACGAGTTTCTCATTTGTTACTGTTGTTATTGTCGCTGCTGCTGCTCTTCTTATTCCCAAAAGACTGGCCAACAATGCCAGACGGCATTGTGATGCACCAGCTTGAGATAGGTTTGCGTTGGGCTCGTTCATGCCACTCGGACATGCAAGGCCATGTTCATTTCCAGCATCGCCCCGCCCGCAGGTCTCCATTGTGTTGCAGCTTTTGCTCTTTTGTATACGTAACTGTCTGTCACAGTTTTTGGGGCAAGGGTGTGGAGTGACTGGCGAGAGAGGCCAGAGAGGCGAGCAGCTACTCACCTGGACAGGCGGCGGGGGACGGTGGGATTGTGCGACAGTTAGATTGGTATGTGACCTCGAGATTAACCAGAGCGCTTCTTGATCATGAATAAATGTCCAAATATACATATATACATATATATAAAAAATATAAATATATACAATCTATGCATGCTTTATCTGGGATCAGGAGCACAACGAAAACGAATTCAAATAATTCATATTCATAGCAAATGCAAAGCAGTGCAAAGTTATGCACTTAACCAAGTTGATTATGCCAAAAACAACGCAAGAGTATTTTAGGGGATAGATGCCGGGGGTTGTGGCAAGTCTGTTAATGAAAGTAGGGTGCAAACTATGCAAAGTTTTCTCATGTGAAAAGTTTTGCAGTAATTTTCGTTGTTGCTTTCCAACAAATTGTTCTACTTTGCTGCCTTTGAGACATTCATGTAGTATATTTGTTGAACGTCAAAGATGCCAACAGATAGCGCTGTAAGTTTATTCTATGTAGTCAACCATGCATATATATATATATATATATACATATATATATATATATATCAAAGCACATGGATACTGCAGCTTCTGCAGAAGCTGGCTGCATGATCCAATTCATTACATTAAAATGATATTAATGATTTAAATTGCATTTTGTGAGCCTGTCAACCCAATGACAGAGAACTTGGCTCAACCTATATGTGTGTGTGCGTGTGTGTGTGTGTAGTATGTGTGTGTACAACAATGCAAACAACATTCTGATTCGTTGCAATTTTGGCAATTCAATAGACTTTTGCCTGCGCAATAGTTGCTTGACTACAGGATACCCAGCAGCCCAATCGATATTTGTATGCAAACAGATACATAGGAAAATACTTTAGACTTTGATAGTCAAAGTTTTAAGATATTATTTGCATCGGGCAAAACCGGGTAATTGGTGGTTAAACTAACAAGAGGTTGAACTTTATTTATTTTTTGTTTAAATATGCTAGAATATTCTTGTTGTTCAATTTTCGAACTAATTGTCTCTCTTTCTTTGTATAATCATCAGCCAAAGTAGCTACGATATCCGAACGCATAATGGCAAAAAATAAATTTGAAGAAAACAGTAAAATATTGCAGAAAACCCATTGGTTGAGAATTATACGTATAAAATCACACTCAACTGATTGTTACGTATACGAAGTGTGGTCCATTGTTGCATAGCAAGCAATCTGTAACAGTCTGGATAATGTTTGCCGCTTCACTATGCAGTACTCAATTGGGGTCCAATTTGTTCATCACTATAAATTTTGTAAGATCTTAATCGATTTTCAATGCAAAGTAAAGCCATGGGCTGAGAGCAATAAATTGCGAAAGATATGGGATTTTAGGATTTTATTAGGGCAGGCTGTGCGTGGTCATTCAATTTTCTAACAAATCTTAGGAGGAGGTGCTTTGTAGTCTATTTTATGTCTTTAGCTTTGAAATTGTGAGGGATAGGTGTTTGTATATATTTGTTATTATCAATTTTATCGATTTTCCTGCCACCGAGCGTACATTTTCTCTGACACGGCAATAGTCGAGTATATTCGAAGTTTCAAGTTTCTAGCTTCAGAGGTGTAAAGAAGAAAATTGCATTTATATTGACGGTCGGACGGGCGGATAGCTCACAAAACCAATATACTATCGCTATCTGAGTATAAAAATACACACATTAAAAATTTCATTAGAGCAGATGCATTGGTCCAAGGAAGCTATTTTATTAAAAATATAGTTGTGGCATTCACGATGAACATGGTATTGTGGCGAAGCTGTCCGAGCCCGTTGCACAATCATCTGTCAAAAATGTGTGCTTACATTGTGGCTAATTGGCTTTTTATTTTATGGATGTCACAGAAACTGTTATGAAAAGAGTGTAATTGAAAACGATTGCATTTTGTGCACTGAATTGCATATTTGAGCTGCAACAAACTATTTGCAGCCTTTTATGTTTCTCACACTTAAGGATTTAACTTTCCCAGTTAGCAGAATGTCTCTATTAACAAAGTCGTGTTGGCCCTCTTACATTTTTCAAATTGTGTACCTAGCATACAAATATTTATGTATAAATATCGATTCTGCCCGTGCAGATTGGAAAAGCGATAGGACCTGAAGCCAATGCCTGATGCTTGAATGGTAATTAGCAGTAATCAAAGCTTAAAAGCTTACTGTACAAAGTGGCTGTTAAAAGCGTCAATATTTATGTGAAATGAAATGTCGCCAGAGCAACAAGCTCAAAAATCAAGCAACATTAGGTTGGGCTAACAAGCGCTGAAAGCATATCCAATATGTACAATCTGAAACTTTTTAGGGAGGAGGGCTGAATGTGGAACGTCAGCTTTACGAGAAGCCCTCAGAAACAAAGCAAACAAATTTAATAAGCGTAACAGCTACAAACGACAACAAACAGCTAAGAACAACATTAACAACAACAAGAACAACAACATGAACAACAACAGCTGACAAAGTCTCAAGTGCGACCACGCCCAGTTTTTGAGTGCTACCGCAGCCACAGTCGCACTCTCGCCCGGTGGAACACGCACCTTCCGCAAACCCACAACCCACAAACTTGGCAGCCCGCCACGTGCGGCATTTCATAATCAAAATACATTCGCAAATTTAGCGGAAATTGTTGTTGTTTTCTTTTGTTTTCACACAAAGTCAACGCGAAACGCCGAGGATACAAAAGCTGGCGAGAACTGAAGGCATCGAAGCCAGCCGCCAAAAAGGTTGCCAGCCTATTAAGGACATGAAGGGGCCCATAAGCAATACAATTTTGATTTTCTTATGTCTCGCAAATTGCAAAATGTATCAAGCTAAGCGTGACCCAAAGCCGATTGCTCCAAACCACTTTTCCGTTTCCTGTTCCCCATTCTTCAATTTTAGCTGATTAAGTCGACGAATTGGCGATCAACAAATGTGAATGTCTATAACCCAATATATATATTTATATATATGTATTTATATATACTCTGCAGCTATGCCTATTTGTCACTTGTGACACCCCTCTTTCCATCTTTCCAGTTTTCTTCCCTACTCTCTACTCTCCATCGTCCTTTCTGGTCCTGCTGCGTCGGTCTTGATTAATGTAGCGTCCATTTGAGTGTCGTGTAATTATTTTCAGAAAACAACTTTTAAACACACATACACTTCGTGAAGTCTCATTTTTTCTAGGAAACAACAAATTAATCAAAACCTTATACATTATTTACTCTAAGTGTAATAATTTCTAGTTTAAAAATGGCACTTCCATTTCTTGTAGACTCCTGGCCGCTTTTGCAGTTTCGATTTAGCAGTTTCGTTACAATTTCCAAACTGTTTCCTTCTTGCTTCGCTGCAAATTGCAGCCATTTGTTCTGGTTCGCCGCTTAGCCCGCCTTTAGTATTGTGTTCAAGTGTTAAAAACTTTTGATTCTGTTAAATATTTTAGCTATTTCGAGTAATTTTCACTGTGCTATTTTAAACTGGGTGATTAATATCGTTTTTTATAAAGAACATTTATGTTATAACAGATAAAAAAAAATTGCTGGGCAACCTTGGCACATGTCTGTGGCCTCCTTAAAGGCTACCCCAAAAGTTCAAGCACTACTTCAATTGCACCAGCATAAAAAAAAAGGAAATATAATACAGCAAGGCCCAAAAGCTCGCCAAGCAGAAGTTGTCAGATGAAAAACAAAATTCCTTTTATGAAATATAAAGGCACTGGCTCCCGAGCTCTCCAGTTGGGATGCTTTGTTAGCCAATCAAAAGTTTGCCAACAATTAACGCGACCTGTACTCTCTAATTTAATTGGCTGTAGCAACTTCTAATCCTCATAACTGTCACTCTTGGGGAATTGTTTGCTTGTTTTTTGGGTTTAATTTGTAATTAGGGTCGTTGCTTTGTGGCACACTTTCCTATCAAGCTACGTAATTACCTTTTCTCCATTTTTGGCCACATTTATTTTGTTTGCTTTCGCCTTTCCAGCAAGGAACGATTTGTGGTTTTGACAGCAAGAGTTTTCAATTTAATAACGCTGCAGAATAATTGACTTTTGGCATGAGGTAAAGAGGCAATCCTTTGATATCCCAAAAGAACCCAAAGAACATTATTTTCTGTTTATTTATTTATTTTCATTATATTTCATTATAAATTTGATTTTGGGCCACTGAGGGACCATACAGATTTGTAAACATAGCTAGTTGATTTAATATTCTAGCGTGTCAACACTCGTCCATATTTAATATTTACTCTATTCTTGTTGCTTTCATCTTGGAACATTTTGCAATTCGCTTTGATTAAATTCGTATGATGTACACACAACCATGTGCAAATACACACATAACTGCATGCAGACACTTGTACATATATACGTCAATGTCAGGCAATATGACAGTCTCTTCGGACACAAAGCTACATTCGTAGTTGATCAACACGGACACACTCATAACTGCACAAATGACAGTGTCGGCGAGTGCACGTGGTCAACAAACCGACAGACAACAAAAACAAAATGGCAGTCTTCAGCCACAAAGCTGCATTCGTATATATATATATATATATATATATATATATACTTATATCTACACTTGATCTACATTAGTTGACAAAAATAAAATGCTTACCTTTTTAGGAATGATGCTTTCGCTGCAGCTAATATGCGAACGCTTTAAATCGAACCTTGCGAATGGCGCTAAAAGGAATTACAAATAATTATAAGTCAGCAAACAAGGATGCGACACAAAATGGCGCAGAGCGGCATTTTTACTATTTATTAAATTATTACTATTTTTTGTTTTGTTTTGATTTGTTTACCACGTTTATTAAAAGTAAAACTCACATACCAAAGCACTTGAAAAAAAATTGTGAAAAGTTCTTGTTATTGTACGTGTGCAAGCACTTTGAAAAGCAGAAATTCGTTAAACTTTTACTTTGAACAAATCAAACTAATTCTCTGCAGGATATGCCAAAATGAACGCGACGAGATTGACGAGCAAACTAACTGTAAATTCAGTGCGTTTTGCCGAGGACAATGTCAGTGTGACCATTTGAACCACAACTTGCAAATGTCAAAAATACAACAATACTGCCGATATACTAAATGCATTCCACAAAAAGCTTCGCTTCCCATTTGTAGTTTTCTGTTGAATGTAAATAATTTGTGGTTATCTTATGTTGTTGTTGCTGTTGCAATAAATAAATATGCGTACAGTATATTTAGCAGCAACATATGTAAGAATCTAAAAATATTTTATATTCTTGCAATAGATGAATTGGATTGGAATAAGAAGAAATGACTGCCAAAGGCAAAATACACACATAAGAAAAAAATATTCTGGTAAGTCACCAGAAGAACTGTTCAAATTTCAAACTGCAATCTCACTGCATGTTGTTTACAGTTAATTTATTTTTATTAGTAATAAATCTCCCAGATTTTTCCAAAGTCAATCAAATTGAGAATACCTCACAAAATACCATTCATGCAAATTCAAATGAACTTTACTCCGAAAAATACTAACACAACAAAGAATGGTCACACTTGGCACACTAGAGAAGTCGAATATTAAAATACGTTTTTGACTTGTGCTTCAAGCAAATGTTGGACAGTTTATCATGATACGACGAGTTGTGGTGGGCATGTCCGGCGGCGTAGATAGCGCTGTCAGCGCCCATCTGCTTAAGGAGCGTGGTTTGAATGTACTCGGCGTCTTCATGCGCAACTGGGATGAGCACGACGAGATCGGCCGTTGCACTGGCGAACAGGACCTTAAGGATGCAGAATGGGCATGTCGGCAGCTGCAAATTGAGCTGCGTCAGGTGAATTATGTGAAGCAATACTGGACCGCGGTGTTCAGTCAGTTCTTGGATGACTATCAGCAGGGCCTGACACCGAATCCGGATATATTGTGCAACAAGCATATCAAGTTCGATTTGTTCCATCGGCATGCGCTGGATACGCTGCAATATGATGCCGTTGCCACTGGCCACTATGCCCGCAACAGTCTGGGCGACTATCTGGAACATCGATCGACAGACCAGCAGAAGGCAGATGTGCGCCTGCTTATACCAGCCGACACGTTTAAGGATCAAACCTTCTTCCTGGCGGGCATACCACAAACAGCGCTGCAGTTCACAATGTTCCCGCTGGGTGGATTGCTGAAGACGGAGGTAAAGCAACTGGCTCGCCGCATTGGACTGCAGCGGCTGGCCGTGAAGCGCGAAAGCACCGGCATCTGTTTTGTGGGCAAGCGTGATTTCAAGGCCTTCATACGGGAGGTAAGCGAAGACGCTAACAGAAATTTCTGATAAGTTTCATTGTCATTGATAGTATATTAGCTGCAAGCCGGGACATTTTGTGGACGTCGACAGCGGCGAAGTGGTGGGCAACCACGAGGGCATTCATCAGTGGACGGTGGGACAACGCTGCCGGCTTAGCTCATATTTGCAGCCGTACTTTGTGGCACGCAAGGATGCTGCCAGCAACACCATCTTTGTGGCAGCTGGGCACGACCATCCCGCACTGCACAGCATCCGCATCCGCATCGGTGATTTCAACTGGCTGTGCAACCGGGCACGCCAGCAATTAGCCACAAGTGGCAGCCTTCGGTGTCGTTTCCGCTTCCAGCACACAAAGCCAGTCGTCGAGTGTTGGCTGCGTCCCTTCGAAGTGCTCCTGGATGCACCACTACGAGCCATCACACCGGGACAATATGCGGTATTCTATGACGATGTGGCGTGCCTGGGTTCTGCGCGCATTTTGTGCGCAGAGCCACTACAACAAATGGAACAGCAAGCTGCCTTGGAAAGTTAGCTCCAAAAGGGCTTTAATTGTTGTTGTTTGTTTTTCTTTTAGATTTGGTAGATTGAGCAACCCATTAAGACTTATAAGCTGTGAATCTGTACATAAATATTTGTATACTTATATTCAATATTTATATGTTTTGAATTATGATGTTTTATTACAATGATGATCCATATCTTCAATAGAGGCAGTGCCGACTATTGGTCGAACAAAACTCCATGTTTTTGATGAGATACTAACTGATCTAATCTAACTGATCTGAGTTGCAACTTTCAAAATGTTGCAGAATGGATTATTACTATTATAAAATAATAGAGATATTTTTCTACTCGGATAAGATGTTGACAAGATCAATAGATTATTATATTATTGAAATTGAATCGATTATACATTTTGATGTATACTAAATTATGATAGATCTTCTTTTGTGTAGCTTCGCATCCCAAATCCCCAATAACTTAAAAAATCATTCAATTCTTATGACAGTAACATGAAATAAAATAATGTATTTAGAATCTGTATTATACAATTTCCAATCGAATGCTTCAAACTATCTTAGTTTCTATATTTCCTTAAGCGTTAAACAATCGCATGTCTTAAATTATATCTGCATAATTTGTATCATTTCCTATTAGTAGTCCAAAAAAAATTAAGGCTATTATATTAACAAGAATTGTCGCTTATAAATAAGATTATGTTAAATTAGATCGGCTCGATAAGCAAAAGTTTGATCCGTTTTAAAATGAAATAAAAAATCATTCAATTCTAATGACAAGCACATGAAATAAAATAATGTATTTAGAATCTGTATTATACAATTTCCAATCGAATGCTTCAAACTATCTTAGTTTCTATATTTCCTTAAGCGTTAAACAATCGCATAGCTTAAATTATATCTGCATAATTTGTATCATTTCCTATTAGTAGTCCAAAAAATAATAAGGCTTTTATATTAAAAAGAATTGTCGCTTATAAGTAAGATTATGTTAAATTAGATCGGCTCGATAAGCAAAAGTTTGATTGGATTATTAGTAGATAATTGACTTAAATACTAAACTAAAAGCGAGTATAGCGAGTATTGAACTTAGGTCAAGAGCACGGTCAACGCATCTAGAAATCGGGTCAAGTCGCTTTGGCGCAGTTGAACGATGGACGGCTCAAAGAAGTCCTGCAGCAGGCTGGCCTTGCTCTTCTGTGCAGCCTGATCGAACGCCTTGCCAAAGAAGTTCTTCGGCGAGTCCTCGCGCACAGGCGCAATGCCAACCAGCAGACACATGCCCTGCGTCGCATCCAGCGGACATGTGGCGATCAGGGGTAAATCAATTGCGTGACGCGCCCTCGTCGTTGCCACATGGCCATGCAGCACGAACTTGGCCAGCAGGGCCAACGCATATGGATACGAGAAGAACGCGTGCTCCTCCTGCAGTATATAGTAGAAAAAGGAGCCGGTCGAATGCACCTGATGCGCCTCCAGGCAGCTCTGCACCTGCCGAAAGATGGCCGCATGCAATAGCTTAGCATTATCGATGCCTGCAATGAGCAGCTGCTTGTGCTGGCGCGTCAACGCATCCGATGCCTCCATGTAGCAATCCTCTGGTGTGTTTCGCTTCTTCACCGACTGCAGTATCGCCAGCAGCGCATAGACATAGTCGGCGGCAGCGTAACGACTGCGATAGCCATAGCTGAGCGTAAAGGTGCCATAGACAATGTCCGGTATACTATATTTGTCGGCAAGCTTCTCCACCATGGAGTAGAATTCCTTGCGCAAGATTAGATCCATTGCGCCGTACGATTGTCGGGCGTGCACCAGCGGCAGCCCCATCTCAACGAGCAACTCGTGCAGACGCTTCTCGCCCCGCAACGTCCATAGCTTCATCTTACAGGCGGCATAGCGGGAGTACCTATAAAAAAAAAAAATAAAACGAGGAAAATGCGTTGTCAAGTTAAAGTTCGCAATCAGATCTGATCAGCAATGATTACAATGCTTACCGCATGGACTCTGTGACGGTCCAGTGTCTATAGAGGACCAAGTGCAGATCGTTCTCAAAGCATATCTTCGAAGCACTCATCGTGTGTTGATCGTTTGTCTTGTTGGTCAGACGCGACACGTGCGACTGTATGTGCTCCAGTTCGAGGGTGTAGGCACCGCTCTCGATCTTGCCGAGCAGCAGTTGCTCGCTGATGCCTACAATGGCCCACCACAGCAGATCCATGTTGTCCTTGGACAGCTTCCAGGCCAGCTCAAAGATTTGCAACGCCGTCGACCGGCCATAATAGCTAAATTGTGTATAGTCGAACATGATGCGATCTCGGTCCGATTCCCATTGTCGTCTTGCCCGCTGACGCATAACGCGTTGCTCATGCCGCTCCATACGGCTCAGCTTGGGTGCTCGCTGCTTTTCCGCATTGCCGCCATCATTATCAGAATCGCCGGCGCCGCTGTCTGCATCTATGTCATCCTCAGCGCCATCGTCGTCATCGTTATCATTGTCTTCGTCCCCATCGGAATCATAGAATATCGTCTCAAATGCTGGTATATTCTCCTCCAGGGCTGGATCACCCAAAATGCACACCTGCCGGTCGCTGTAAATGTTACACACGTCCAGCGGACGATGCGAATCGCATATAAAGAATGTGACATCCTCCGCCGGCTTCAGCAACTCCACAATGTCCACACAGGCGCCGCAGTTGATCAGCAGCACGTACTTCACATCGCCCTGATGCTCGGAATAGGCCCGACACAGACCCGTTATACCCATTATGGGCACCACGGTGTACAGCATGTGATCGTACTTGAAGAGCGATTGCAGTATTTTGCTGGCGCAAATCGCGTCGACGTCATAGTTGACAACGATCAGAATGCGTTTGCCAATCAGCTGCCCGTAAAAATCATTCTTCAGATCCTCTATGAACATTTTCTACGCGCTAAATTCCACAAATCAATACAAAGACACAGAAAAAAAAAAACAATCTCGGAATACAAATATAAAAAAACAATTGCTTGCTCGAATTGCACTTGACGGACGGCACTTGTGCGCCGCCTTCACTTGGTAATGGATAGTCTTGCTATTGCCGCACTCAATAAGCCATCTTTTAGTGCGTTGCATTTGTTGTTAGATTTGATCTTATTTGCAGTTTCCAGCTTAGAGCCCGCAGTCTCTGCATGCGCCACAGCTGCGCGATCGAATTTAGGCGGGAAATCCGACAGCTGTTAGGCGTGGACGTGCTTCGCTGTGAATGGCACAAGCATCAGTGCTTGCGGTATGAACTTTGGCAAAGAATGAGCCAAATGCAAAATGAACGAATACAAATAAATATTGCTTATGGTAGCCATATGCGATTATAGATTACTAAATTACGATTTTCTCATATAAATGTCGATGTTAGCTGGCTGGCAAAATGATGGGCTCGTCTAATTTCTAATTTCAAATGCATTAATCGATTACTGCGCTACAATCACAGCAGCGATTAATAATCGCTAGATCGTGTTCAAATTCGATATTAAAATATCAGTGCAAAAGTCTGAGAAACAAACTGATTTAGCTATGGCCAACAATAACAATAAGAGCAAGCAGAAGCTGCTGACGCAGCGTCATGTCATGTCCAGAATGAACTTCCTCTACCAGGCCGGCAATCTGATGGCTCACAGCAAGCAAAACACTCTGGCCGCCTATTATTGCAAACTTGGCCGCAACGTGGGCACCAAATCCCTGATGCACATGTGAGCTCCACTAATATGCATATGTATTGGAAAAGTGTTACTCACTTCTTGCCTTCTTAGGTCGCCAGCAGTAAAGCGCACGCTTTGCAAATGCTGTGCAATACCCCTGCTGCCAGGCATCAATACGACGCTAAAGCTGGAGGAGAAACAGCAGCAGCAGCAACAATCGGAAAAGCAAAAACACAATCATAATTTGGCTGCGACGAACTCGAGCAAACGACGCCGTCGCCATCGCCAACGCAAACGCTGCAGTGCTGAGGCTAAGGCGGATGCAGCTGCAGCTGCTCCTGCTCCTGCTCCGAGCGGATTGGCAACGAGTGGTGTACTCGACGAGCATGCCCGAATGCAGCTGGAGTGTGTGTTGTGTGGGGCGCATCGTCGTTTTGTTATCGACGCACAAAACGAATGCTGGCCGGAGCGATCGGCGGCAATTATTCAAGTAGTAACTCTGGACAGACCAACGCAGACGCTGATGTCAACAAACGTGGAGAACGATTAAAAGGAGGAGAAGGAGAGGAAGGAGGAGAAGGAGAAGAAGGAGGAGGGGAACTGAGATGAGAGCACTTATAAGCGGCGCTGGCTTATCGTAGGGCACGTGCAATTTCACTTGTGTTGATAAGCCGGGTTCGTCGGACGGCTATCAACGTAAGTATTATCAGGCATCGGCTGTTGTTGTCGGCCGTACACTATTAACTCATTATTATTTCGGTGGCACATCTTAATTTTTGATCGCATGTTCAGTATTTGTCCACATGTTGAGTTGTAGACACATGATTGGCCAGCTGCTCGCCCGGCAAATCCAGCGATACGCCAGCAGCAGCAGCAGCCGGCGTATTACGGCTAGACTGCAGGAGCAACGATATGTGGAAGTGACACGGCCTGATGGACAACAACACAAGTATCCGAGCATTTGGCTGCGCGACAATTGTCAGTGTTCGGAGTGCTTCCATGCGGCAACGCGGGCACGCAAGAGCCACTGGGAGCGGGGCCCGTTGCATGTTCGTGCGGAGCGCGTCCGGTTTGACGAGAAACGGCAACAGCTGATCGTTAACTGGGAGGATGCGCACAACTCTAGCTACGATTTGGACTGGCTGCAGCAGCGTGACTTTAGTGTCGAGGCCCGGCAACGGTATCTGAACGAGGTCTACAAGCCGCCCGCTCAGCTCTGGGGCAAGTCTCAATTTGGCGACGTTACTCACCATTTTGAGTACCACGATGTGCTCAAGCAGGATGCAGTATTGCTCGATTGGCTCCAGGCACTAGCCGTGCAGGGATTTGCCCTGCTTCATGGCGCACCACACGATGAACAAGTTGTGCGTCATTTGGCCGAACGCATTGGCTACATCAAGCGCACCACCTACGGGTAAATTTTTTATTATTTTCCATTTTATTTGTAAGCTTAACTCTTCGTCTGCGTCTTTCTTATCAGGGATGTGTTCGACGTCAAGTCAAAGCCGAATGCCGGCAACTATGCGTATCTGATGACGCCGCTGCCGCTGCACACGGACATGCCGTACTATGAGTACAAGGCGGGCATAAATATATTGCACACGTTAGCCCAGTCGGAATCGCCGGGCGGGGCCAATTTGATGACCGATGGCTTTTACGTGGCTAACACGATGCGTCGCGATTATCCGGATTATTACGAGCTGCTGAGGAGCGTGCCCGTTAACTGGTTTGACATTGGACATGATGGCGATGCTGGCAAACCATTTCACAGCCTGTGGCGCGCGCCCGTCATCAGCCTGGATGCGGATGGACAGTTTGCCCGCATCAATCAGAATACGACAAAGCGCGACAGTCGATTCACGGTGCCGCTGGAACAGGCGCTCGCTTGGTATGAGGCCTACGATAAGTTTCTTCAGGTGGCCCAGGCCGAGGCCGTTGAGTTCAAGACGCGTCCGGGTGACGTTTTTGTGTTCAATAATCTTCGCATGCTGCACGGACGCACCGCGTACGAGGATTCGCCGCAAAACAAGCGACATCTTGTTGGCGCCTACGTCGATTGGGATATAATCTACTCCAAGCTACGCACCCTCAAGTTTCCAGATGCAAAGGACTAATTGTTAATCATTAAAATGTACCCATAAATATTGTATTCTCATACAATGCAATGCGTAATGCAAATTAATACAAGAGAGAACGTTGCAGTTGGGCGTAACCGACTGCGCCTTGGGGCGGCGGCGGTGGGCGTGGCATATGCCGATCTTTTAAGGGCATCGCCAACAACCTACCAATGAAATTTGGCAACTAGCCTTAAAATGGTGGAAGATATGTGGCTTTATCGATTTGCGAATATGGATTCTTATCGATTTCCTAGCCCCTAGTGGACGTAGCACTCCAATTTATAAACTTTGTCCCGGTAACAGATCAGTATATCTTCCAAGTTTCAAGTCCCTGTCCTAAGGGTGTCGAAAAAAGTTTCGTTCATTCAGACAGACAGACAAACAGCATGGCGGACATTGCACAAAACGAATATACAATCATTTTTATATATAATTATAATGGTTTGCTTAGTTTTCAAAGTAGGGCGGCAAAAATTGCCTCGATGTAATCATAAATTCTCTTATTCCAATCGATATATATGGCTGGAGTGTGTACCATCGATATGTGAGGCTTTGGCCAACATCGATACAACGATATATTTTAGCCGATAGCACCATCTCTAGTTTGGCCTGTTTGGCACATGCATATCAACATCAACAAGAAAAACGCATTTGCAAATGCAAACTGCTCTTGCAACATAGATAAAAGTGCTCGATTCCAAGAAAAAATAAGTGCAACTGAGTGTGTGTGCAAGTGTGTGTGCGTGTGTGTGTGTCGGGGTGTCGGTGTGTGTGTGTAAATGATGCCGTATAATGTGCGTGCCTGCGGAAGCAATGCCATGGTGCGTGAATATGCTGGAGGCAGTATCAATGGCATTTTGCGGAAAACAGGAACCGCTGCAGCCTCATCTTGTGGCATTGGCGCCAACGGCCATTTGACATATGGTGCAACACACGCAACAGGACCGGCAGCGGGGTCAGCGGGGTCGTCGGACGCACGCCATCCGGCTCTTGATCTGCTCGTCTTTGGCTATGCGTGCAAGATATTCCGGGACGATGAGAAGGCGCGAGAACTGGATCAGGGGAAACAGCTGATACCCTGGATGGGCGATGTAAATCTCAAAATAGACAGGTTAATAATTGCTGCCTGGCTGCCACAAGCCCCTAAACTTAATTTAACTATAATAATAACAATACGCCTATATAGTACATATCTATAAAGTACAAATTACACCCATATATCTATATATATATATATGTATATGAATATGTACGTAATTCCTTGGATCCCATTTGTTTATGTACATGATGAACAACACTCCCCTACCCCCTCACCAAAATCTTTTTGCTAGAGCACAACAATATACGTACAGATATATGTTTGTATGCTGTGTACATCATACGTACATATGTATGTATGTATAGAATTACATACATACATAGATCTACAGGAACGAATCGAATCGACTCGAAAACCACTTCTAAGCCAAGCCGTTGTCATCGAACATATTCATCTACAAAAACTACATAAAATTGACACGTACTGAACGCCACGACCTATGACCTAATTTGTTTGGTTGGAAATGAAGTTGTTAGTTACCGTTTGACGAACCAGAGTGCAAATGTGCCTTAAAGTTTGCCAACTATTGCATAAAATGGTCGAAATGTCAAATATGATTCAATGTCAAAGAGTTAATAAGAAAAACCAAAAATGGGACTGATCACAGATCAAATTGATCATTGCGGACTGAGCTTGGAGACTCTGCAACTGTAACTGTAACTGGTCACGTTTTCTCATTGTAATAACAGCTCTTTTCAGTGCTTCGCAAACTGTATTATTGAAAAAAAAAAAATATATTTGATAATTGAAAACTGTAATTGTAAAACAATTAACTTTTTTTTAGCATCCGGAGCGGTATGTATGAATGTTTAAGACATAATAATTTATATATAAATCCAATTATATATAAATATCCATAGACACTTAATTTAACCAAGCATATATACAATTTAAACTACAACAATTTATTCAACTACTGTGTGAAGTAATTTTTTCGTTTTCAATCAACGATTATTTTTATTTCATTTATTTTGTGTGTGTTTGTGTTTGTGTGCGTGTGTGTGTGTGTTGGAGTGTGAGTGCGTGCGTGGGTGTGTGTGTGTGGGTGTGCGTGTGTGTGAGTATGAGTATGTGTGAGTGTGACCACCACCACCACCACCACCCCCTAAATATTGATTCAATGTCACTAATAACGTTTTCTTTCCCGTTTATATTTCTCTGATTCTTTTCTTTATAAACACAACCGAAACACACACACACACACACATGCATAGATATGACGTGCGTGGAGCGTTGTGCGAACTATCGGCCTATGAGGCGCCACCGGGCGGCTACGGCAATCGCTTAGAATATCTGAGCGCCGAGGAGCAGCGTGCGGAACAACTGTGCGAGGAGGAGCGCTATCTGTTCCTCTACAACAACGAAGAAGAGCTACGGATGCAGCAAGGTAAGTGACGTTGCCGGCATGCCGTATGCACTGTCTCCTCAATGCGAATTGTTTGTACAACTACTATTTAAATTTTAAGTGCCAATGAATGAAATCAAGTGCGTTTATGCATAACGCTATTCAAGCTCAAATCGAATATACCAAAAGAATCAATTCAATTCAATCAAAAATCAAGTAATACTGCAAAAGCCGAACATAAATCAAGTCCAAAGTTAACATGAGCAAGCTCAGAAATATAGAAATCAAGTCGAACCACCCCATGTAGCACCAAACCAATCAAAACCAATCCAAAGCAACCCAGCAACAACAACAGCAAACGCAAAAGCAACACGATCAACAGAATCAACGTAAGTTTCATCATACTGCTTTTGGCGCCGTGGTTCAGGTAAATAGAAACCACTTCAAATTTAACAAGCTAAACACTTTCTTACAGATGCCGCTGTCCAACTTGGGTATAGCGAGTCCAGCTCAGTCTCTCAGCTCGACCATTAAACTCAGAAAAAAAAAAACCGAAAGAAACAAAGAAATCCTTAAATTAAATCCAATCCAAAAGTCAAAAAGCTTATTCTATGAATATTTCTGTAATTCATTTCTCACGTCTGGCTAAATATTAATGTTTTTTGCTTTGTACTAAAGTCTCGCGTTTGTGTTGTGTTTTCTTATTTTTGCCAACACTCCATACTCGCACACTCACACTGACATTCGCACACATACACACACACACACACACACACACATGTACAGAGGAGGATCTGAAGCGTCTGCAGCAAGAAACATCGGGCGGCAACTATAGTCAGATGGAGTTTCAATACGATGGACAGACGACGTCCAGCGCATCGTCGGCAGATACTGCAACGACAACATTGCCAAATCCATCAACGCCGCCCGAGGAAAGCGAGCTTCCTTACACGCTGCCAAACAATCTCCTGGTGGCGCCCGCTCCAGACATACAGCTGGTAAGCAGCTAGCTCGAAAAGTGGAATCATCCATAATTTGTATCTTTATGTTTGAAAATGCTAATCGACGCTTGCCTTAAATTTATAGCCGGACACAATGAAACAGCATGCGATCATTGAGAAGACAGCACGCTTCATTGCCACCCAGGGCGCCCAAATGGAGATATTGATCAAGGCGAAGCAGGCAAACAATGCACAGTTTGACTTTCTGTCGCAGGGTGGACAGTTACAGCCGTACTATCGTCATCTACTAGGTGCCATCAAGCAGGGCAAGTATGCGCCTGTTCTCGCATCAACGGATGCGACGGCACACATGGACAATGCGATTGCGCTAAGCGAGAGCAGCAGCTCGCTGTCTGTCAGTCCGAAGCGTAGCCAACAGATCATAACGGTGCCCACCATCAAATACAAGCCGTCAGCCAATTGCGCCTACACGCAGCTCATCAGCAAGATCAAGGGTGTTCCGCTGCAGGCGGTATTGGACGACGAGGTGGCTTCGCAGCATTCTGGCGGCACCGCTTCCCCCACTCTTAGTTGCAAGTCCGAAGGTCAAAGCAGTACTTCTGCTTCTGTTGCTGCCGCTGCATCCGCATCCAGTGTGGAATTTACACCCGTTCTGTTGCAATACAATGGCAGCACATTTGCCCACGAGACGGAGGAGAACACCAACGATGCACCGCCCAAAGTGGAGCTATTGAAAAACACCAGCGCCCTGGCTCTTGCTCAGAACTATAGCTCCGATAGCGACGAAGAGCACGCAGATGACGACAATGATGATGATGATGATGATAGCAACGGACAGCGGCAACAACAGCACAAGCAATCGACAGAAAGTGCAAGTGTCGCCACAACAAGCATCACTGCAAAGCCTCCAGTGGCACTCGCACCACCGCCATTGCTTACGTTTCCCATGCCCGAGGAGAGTTTGCGTCACATCATTGACAAGACGGCCACCTATGTGATCAAGAACGGCCGCCAGTTTGAGGAGACGCTGCGCACCAAGAGCGTGGAACGTTTCAATTTTCTGCTGCCGGAGAACAAGTTCTATGCATATTATATGTATAAAATAACCGGTGATGTGGACGCCGCATCGAAGGAGGAGAAGACGCGCAAAGCGGCTGCAGTTGCCGCCGCCCTCATAAGCAAAAAGGGTCTCGGTGGCTCTGGTGTTGCCTCGTCTAACTCGACGACGGCGGCTGCTGTTGCTACCAGTTCTAGCGAGAAAGGTGTGTTCATCTACGATATATTGCTAGAAAATCAACTAATCTCATTACCGTATCACTTTCAGTGCCCGTTTGCTTCTCTATTCGCCCGCGTGATGAGAACGCCGCATCGTTGCAGTCGACAATGGCGCATGAGGCGGCCAGCGCTAAGGATGACGAGGCCAAGGTCAAAACTAATGCAGATCCAGTGCGTCCGGGCATGCCGGACAGTGTGCAACGTGCCATTAAGCAGGTGGAGACACAATTGCTGGCAAGAACTGGTGGATCCAAAGCAACAGCTGCCTCTTCCGATGCTGCTGCCACCACAACAACAGCGAACGCAGCGTCCCCCCAAAAGGACCAGCGTCAAGGTGTGTACCACATAGAAAGAGAAAGAGAAACCGAGAGACAGAGAGAGAGTGAGAGAGTGGTTGTATACAAATCTGTACTAAATTGCAACATTTCGTTTAACCCACAGCTGAGGAGCGCGTGAAGGATAAGCTTGCGCAAATAGCACGGGACAAGCTGAACGGCATGATATCGCGTGAGAAGCAGCTGCAGCTGGAACGCAAGCGGAAGGCATTGGCGTTTCTTAATCAAATCAAAGGTAGTCTCCCAGTTTCCCATAAAATCTATTATGCAAATAGCTGCGCTCACAAAAATAGCACAATTTTATTAAAATTTGTATTTTTTAAAACTTAAGTGTTCGATTTAAATCAAAACTTAGATGCCTAAGACAATAGTGCCCCTCTTTCTATTCTCCTTTATAATCATATGTAGTGTACATAAAATCTGACTGTTTTTAACATTTAATAATGAATGTAAACATTCATTTATTTATTTGTATTAAACTCTGGTTGATCTTCTTTTAAAAGACCTATATACATGTATGTAGTATATATTTATAAGAATCAGTCATTGGGCATATTCAACGCAATTCACTATTAATTCAAACATCGAGCATTTTTCTGTATGAATTAATAGTGGGTTGAGTTGTATTTTTGGTTTGGTTTGGTTATGTCGGCTGTCAGCCCGATGGGCACAGCCTATGATTAGGCCAATGCTGTGCTTCTCGCACTCCTGGACGAGGTACCTTGTAGTCTCATCTGGTGGTGGGCCGGCGCTGTCGTAGGCCATTTAGATATGTTCCAAGTTTCAAGTCTATATCTCTAAGGGTGTCGATAAAAGTTGCATTCATACAGACTGACAGACAGCATGACGGCATGAATAAAACTAATATACAACGATATCTTCGGTATCAAAGTATAAAAAGCACTCCTAATTTTGGAAGATGGATGTACAATAATTGTATGCAATTAAGGGCCTCAGACTCACTGTCGAAGATACACAGGAAGTCACATATTTATTTTGTTTTAACATCTCAAATATTAAAGCTTGTACAAATAAACTGAATTTCCAATTGAACACCAGGTGAAGGCACAGCTATTGGGGCAGCTGCCGGGCCAGAGGCGGCGTCAGTGACAGCAACTGTAGCAACTAAAGCGGAATCAGAGGCGATGGCAGCAAATAGCGATGGTGACTCCAACGATTCGGTACGTTCCATACCCATCACTTATTTTGGACCTGATGATGATGATGATGATGACGACGACGATGAAACTACTGAGGTGGGTGTGCAGCAGGCGACAGCAGCACCGTTGCAGACACCTGCTGAGCGCGATGGGGATGATGAGGAGGAAGATAATGGTGATCTGGAGAAATACAATTTACTGAACGATGATAGCACCAATACGTACACCAGCAAGGCGGCAACGCCGACAGCAGTGGGTCCCGTTCTGCTCTCCGACGATGACGATGTGCAGCTGGTGTCCGGCGCAACGCCACCGCCATCTTCAGCTAGACGCCATCGTAAAGGTCGACGTGGTAGTCGGACTCGCAGTCGAAGTAGTAGCAGCAGTTGCTGCACCGTTGTACAAGATGCGACCGTGACCTCGTCAAGCAGCAGTGCCAGCGGCCGTCGCAGTCGCAGCCGGAGTCGCAGCTCACACCGGCAGCGACAGAAGCGACAAAAGGCCAACACGGTATCCAAGCATAGGCGACGCCGACACAGTCCCAGCTCAACACGCAGCTTGCGACAGAAGCAACGTAGTCGGAGTAGGAGTCGGAGTCGGAGTCGCAGCCGGAGTCGGAGTCTTAGCAGCAGCCATACAAGCTCGCGTCGCCATCGGGGACGGGACAAGGAAGAGTCATCCTCGCGGCGTCGCAATCACCAGCGGCACACAAGCAAAAAGAGTCACAAGCGCCACAAGCGTCGTCGACGCAGCAGCGGCGGCGGATCCGTGTCGAAATGAAACCTGCATTGTCTTAAGAAGTTTAAGCATTAAGTTATAATAAAAAATGTACATTTCCTTCTTTTTTTAATGTTGAGCAAATGTTTTAAAAGCGTCCATCGATCGAAAATAATAAAACTATGGCTTAAGATATATGGACAAGTGGTTCAAAAGACTCATTGCTTGGCATTTTGGATACTGAAACGTAGTCTTTAGAAATTAATGGTTTTATTTGCATTCCCGTGCAAAAGATATTGTATGAATGGAATTTAATATTCTTGATCAACAGGACAACTTTTGTCCTTTCTCAAGAAACATGTTAATTACAAGTTTAATTTTGCTTTCTTAATTAATAACAGATTTTTGTGCTACAAAGCACAAATATAAATTCAACCTGTTTTTAATCGAATTACCTAAAAATGTAAAATCAATCTAAAATTATAAAGTTGCAAGGTTTTGTTTTAAAGTTTGATTTAATAGAATTATGAAGTTTCTTTTTTGCTTTCTTAGCGGGAAAGTAGTTATCGGCTATAATTGACAAAATATCTCATTAAAGTTAGTCTAAGGATAGATACAATATGTATTTAGTCTAGAAGTCTATAACTCCAGGCAAATATTTATCGATGAGCGTTTGATAGTAGGGCCACAGGGCCTCAATGTCGGGCACCACAGCACTCTTTGTGTACAGATCGTAGCGACTGTAAGAAGAAGAATTATTTGTTATAGATTTATCTAAAAGTGCAAGTTAAAAATAATCAACTCACTTGAAGATAAGCACCCATTTCTTTGTATCCTCGTCCTGGGGCGCCTCTAGGTGTTTGTAGTCGCCACCATTGTGCCACGGGTAGAACGAATGAAAGCGTATTATATTGCATGCCACATCAGGCAATTTGGTTTTATTGTGCTTGAGCACAGAGTACATGTACTCATCGTGACCCCACGACATGAGTAGATTGTCCACGCCACAGTTTGGCTCATATATACCGTATTCGGTATTGTATTTGGGATTGTCACCATCGGGATTGCCAACAAAGCTGTCATCGCGGTACACAATGCTATCGCCCCAGCGGCAGCCCACGGCAAATGTGTCGCCGACCACGGCCCACTGCGGCTCATTATAGAAGGCCATGATCTTGCCGAGATCGTGGATAAGTGCTGTCAAGTGGAGCCAATCGTGTTGCGGAAATTCATCACGGGCACGTTGAGCTGCCTGGAAGGCGTGTATTATGTTTGGTAGATCCAGATCAGGATCAGACTCGTCCACCAAATCGTTGAGCTTCTCCAGAGCCTCGCGCACTGTCATCTTAATGGTGTTGAACTGCAGCCAGCGAGCCCGACGTCCTGCGTTGGCAAGTATAAGCATCAAACAATGATCCAATGGATCAATCAGATATATCCTTACCCCGGACAAAGTCGACAGTTTGATTCAAGTGCATTTGACGATAGGTGCGACGCACGCGTTCCTTCAGCGGATTATCTGTATCGACGCTATAGTCACGAAACTTTGAAGGATTCTTGTCGGCAAATGTGGGCTCTGGTCGCAACAGCTCCGAAGGATCCAACAAGTGAATTTGGTGCTGTATACCCAAAATATTTGGAATTAATCCGCATATTGAAAATATTTTACATCTTTATTTTGATTTTTATTGTTGTGTTTTTACCTCCTGCAGGATTCTCATTTTAGCTGAATTGAAAAATCGAAATTAATAAATTAAAACTGCTTGCTTCAAGTAACGCACAGACGGCTGAACGAGATGCTATTAAATCGTTGACTTGACGGGCCGAACATTTTTATAGATCGACGAGCATAACGGCAGAACACAATCAAATTCTTGCTATATTATTCTCACATCTAGGGTACATACAGTATTTATTTTTTATATAGAATATTATACATGTATATGATTTATAGCAGTTTTGTTGTTTTTCAAAACACACACACACACACACACACACACACGCGCACTCGCCGTCTCTGCCCAGCGACCTAATCAGTTATCAATGCGAGACCCCGGTCAAGTCACTGCTCATGTAGATGTAGGAAACGCGTCCAATTCGGGCCCACACAACACGGTTCGCCTATATACATATATAAATATAAGCTGGGGCAAGTGTTTGCCAGAGTTTTATCGAAGGGTCTGAGCCACATCCGCATCTCAAGTAAAGTCCGTCTAGTTCAGGCTTATCTATCTTTATATAATATATGTATAAGTGTGTTTATACAATGTATTTATCATCATTTATGTAGACTGCACTTGACCGATAAGGCCATTTACCATGTTTAATGGAGCAAGTCCAAGTCCATTCCCAATGATTGCATCACATGACTGCGCAACGGACCGATTGACACTTAACGGCTTCTTAATGCAGTCATGTAGATAAGCTTTATGAATCATAGATTTTAATGGAAATACCCATATATTAGATATAATCATTTAATTCAATGATCTTTCGTAAACAGCTTTTCATATGGGATGCGATTGTTAATACTCTATAAAATACAATATATAATTTAAATTAATTAAAACGATTTTTTGTTAAATATAAAAAGAACGCTTACGTAGTTAATGTTATTATTTTTATTATTATATATTATTTAGATTTTCTATTTGAGTTTGTATTCTTGAACTACGTCAAAATTAAAAATAGAATAAGCCTCGTGTCTTGATCTTTTGTGTGTACTAAATTAAATTAATAAGAAATTGAACGTATTTAATGATTGAAAAATGGACTTTATTTATTCAGAGAACCATTTGTGTTTTCATTATGACATAAAATGAATTTAATTATAATGTAATTTGCACAGACAGCCTTCTGGCTAATCTACTGAATTTCTCATTTAGACCAGTAGATTTGATTTATCAGCTTTGGGTACTTTTTTTTTTTAAATTAATATGAATTCCTTAGTTATTATCATCCATTATTAGAATTACATTTTTCTCATATATTGTTTGTCATATATCAATTATAATTGATGGCTAGCTGATGTAAGTCAAATATTTCATTTTCAAAAGGGTAGACAAAATAAACAAAAATTGTTCATAAAATTAAGTTGCGTTAAAAAAGAAAACACATTCATGGGTAAATAATTTGTAGCCTTAAGTATATTATAAGTCAAATAATATTATATAATATAGCGAAGGCACTTGCTATTGTGGAAGAACTTGTTATTGTCATTTAAAAACAAAAACTTACTTCCATGGCTTCGATAGCGTTTGGCTTCACCTTGAACGAATCTCCGGCAAGGGCAAATGTCCCAGATTCAAGCCTCCAAGCTGGCAATAATGCCGTCTAATCTGGTCACATCGTCATCAAGCGCAAAAATAATGTGCCATCAAGGGGGGGATTGCCTAGAGAAAAGTTATCAGTCGATGCGACGGACAGCATCTAAAATAGCAAATGCGGCAAGTAGCGCGCATTGAGAATACAATAAGCGATTTTGTTTTGGCATTGCCCACGATGGGGCGTGATGATCGATCATGGGTTGGAATTGTTAGGGGCTCGTTTATTTACGACGCAGTACCCAATGCCATCATAGTCATCAAAAGAGGTCAATTTGTAACGATCGAGTGTTGGACGTCAATAAATCTTATCAATTAGTAGCGTCGCACCTAGCACTTTTGTAACAAAATAAACATAAGCAAAATCAAATCTGTACAATTGGTCTTAGTCACAATTAGCAAATGAATGAAAATTACAGATTATTTAAGGTGTATTATACACATACAAAAGTTACACAATTTCAAATATTGTTGGAGCGTTGCGTTCACGAGTATTTTATATTTGTAGTATAAAGTTCAATAAAAATGTTGCATAATATTTTTATATGATGTTGGAACCAAGAACTATGGAAATGATTACGAGCACAACTAAAAATAGCAAGACCGACTGACTGTATATGAGAATCGCAATATATATATTTTTTTGTTATTCAAACTGCACTTGCCACATGAACAAGGCGTCAAATGGAAATTTGCATAAACAATTGCATACTCAATTCATGGTCATATGTAGTTCAAATAAAAAACAGTTTAATTTCTATCGAAAGCTTTCGTATGTGCCCTTTTGATGCCACAGCCATATTAATCATTTTAATGATCATCGCATGCTAATTAAATGGTCGTTATTTTAAATCGCTGATATAAATGAGAGATCACAGGCCAGGATGCCTGACCAGCAGCCACTCGCATTTTGGGTGGCCTTAAAAGCGCAAACAAACTATCAGCACATAAACCACAATCATGATGTTAATGCAGTTTCAATTGTCAATCGGATTGCCAGTAGCTGTAAAACGAAAGTCTACACTTGAAAAAATATTTTTAAAAAGTGCGGTTAACGATTTCATACAAGGTCGTTTCTAAATTACAGGCTCGCTTATGCATTTTTAATTTGGCTAACTTGTTGACCAACCGTTTTCGAAAATCCAATTTTCCACTTGGAAATCATTTGCTTCAAAATTAAAGTATTTCTGAGAGTTTAAATATACACGATCTTTTTTTTTTTTTGTTTTGATTGTCGATTAAAGGCGCTCGTTTTTCCAATAAATTTGGAGTCCCGTCTTTAGTTTAAACAAAAATGATTATTATTCCAGGTTGTGGTTTAGTTTATTATACATTCTACCACATTTTTTCGTCGGTGTATCCTCAATGTTTAGTAGCCAAACACAGTGCAACCTAGTTATAATGACTTTTTGTTTGTTTATCTTAAAAAAAAAACAAACACAATTGTTAGCTATTGAATATGGTTTTAAGACTGAATTGAACCGACTTCTAAGCAGTCAGAAATATAAACCAATTTCCAACTTTGATTTTGAATGCGCTAATGATGTGTTGTAGGGTCGCTTCACTTTGTGAACCAAGGCTTAAGTAAATAATTATTAATAAATCATACTCGTCTGCTGGCATTTTTTTTTGTGCTCGAATTGTTCTTATTTGCGTATGATGTTTTTATTTATATATTTTTGATAGATTTTTGCACATGTTTGCAATAATTCATAATATGATCAGGTCTGACAGATCGGGTCGCTGACTGATCGCTGATAGTTGAATGCGACTAAATGTTAGATTATGTTTGGATTTTTCAAAATTTACCACATTTCCGCTGTATACCAGAAATATATCAGATGTATACCAGAGCTAAGCAAGTGTTATATTTAAAAAAAATATATATATATGAATGTTATTATGATATTTATGGCATTCGTATATCAGTTGAATGTCCGTTGACCTTTGTCTGATATACTACTTCAATATATAACGAATTCACGTTGTTTATCAGAATAACGGCTTAATTTCACAATTTTGCATAACATTTTTTATTTGCGCTGAATTCTAATAGCGGGTATTCTCTCAAATAATTATTATACGAAACAACAAAAAAAAAAAACAAACGAAAAGGTTTCTCATAAATGCATAAAATTTAATCAGTGGCTTCATTTAAACATTATAAATAGGCAAAGGCAAGTGTATATGTATATGTATATGTGTATGTATATGTATGTGTGCTTAATTGAAAGTTTATTGTATAAGTAATAAATGTATAAATAAATAAATAAAATGCATATAATTCTAATGCTAGGATGATCAGTACAGGGTGTCTCCGATTAAAAGCCTAAAACGTACAATCTACAAATATATAATATCAATTTCTATCGTTAATTCCCTATCCTCTATGCTAATATCATTAGACGAGGCGAGCAGACGAGCAGGTGGCACCCGATGTGGCAACTCCCTGCGCTTCCGCCTCCCCGGCCGCGATGCCAACGACCAGACTAACGGCACCAGCTGTGGCAAGCACCCGCTTATAGTTGCTGCTGCATTGTGAGTCAGCGACAGAGCGACCATCGCCCTCGTCGCGACGACAGAGCTCGGCGGCAAAGGGTGCACTACCAGGCACAACCGTCTCGAGTCTTCGCTCCAGTATATCGGCGGTGGTCAGCTCGCTGGCCTGCACCAGACTGCTGGCTGGCACATTGCTCAGCCAGGGCTTCAATGTGGCCTTCTTTTGCATGGTGGCCGCCTTGCAGCGGCAGACGACGTCTCCTTGCTCGCCGCAAATCGAGCAGCTCGGCAGCACGCTATCAACGGCGCCGGAGACGGCACTCGACTCCTCGACTCGCTCGCCACCGACAACAGTTGGTATGGTGGCACCGGAGGAACTGCCGCTTAGTTCCAACTCGTTAACGGCATCTACTAGTGTCTTAATTGCGGCCGCATTGCTGGCCGATTGGACGCTGCTATCGTTTAGAGTGGCGGCCACCTCCTGCTCTTCATAGTTGGGGCTGAGCAGCAGCTTGGAGAGCGGCGGCGCCAGACCCAGACCCAAACTGCGCTCATGATACAGCTCCGATATGCTTGGCGTCAGCTCACGGTTCATGTGCCGCATTATGCTATCCTGTATGCACTTGGCACTCGGCTTCACGGGCGCCTCCGGCTCCTGCTTGGAATCGCATCCCAGCAGACCCTCATTGTCTGCCGGCGAGAAATAGAGGCTGGCCGGATTGTAGGCCACCTCCTCATCGGTCAGAGCGAGCGCTGCCTTGCCCCGCCCACCGCTGCTGCCCACCACATTGGCTCCTGATGTTCCTCCAGACGTTGCACCGCTAACTGCTGGCGCATTCAGCTCCGTGCGCACACTCAATCGATCCATGAACAGGGCATGCTCCTTGTTTACACGCGCCGCCAGCGAGCTCTGTGCACTGCCCAGCTTAATCTTCGGCTTGCTACGTCCCAAATTGTGATAGACGCCGGGACGAGGTGGCGGGAGAGGCGGCTGCTGCTGCTGCTGTTGTTGTTGTTGCTGTAGATGTTGCTGGTGCTGCAACTGCTGTTGCAGTTTCTGCTGTAGGTGTTGCTGCTGTTGAGCGCCGGCTGCAGCGCCACGTCGCAACACAGTCGCATGACCGGAGCCCTCCCAATCGGTTGTCGTGCTGCTGGCCGAACTGGAGCTATCCGGTCGGCGGTTTGTGTTCACCTGCGGCGGCTGTGTCGCTGATGATGAAGAAGACGCTGCCGCACCTGGCTGCGCGTAGAGGCAACGTATGCGCGTCTGATGCGCCAGAGCCAACGACAGGCTGGGATCTGTCACCGGTGGACTGGGCGTGAATGCCGCATCACTCTCCCCGCCGCCACCGGGTCGTGAGACGCGCACGGGTCCACGCAAGCTGGCATAGCCGAGACGTGGAGCGGGCTGGCTGCTGCCCGCCTGCGTTGCATAGCCATCGGACAGCGAGTGCTCGCTATCGGTGGTGTTGGCCAGACTCGAGTCCAGGCCGCCACCTCCATCGGGTTCGCCGCGGCGACGAACGTACGAGATGAAAGCGCTGCGCGGATGCAGCGGCAGCGGCGACTGTGTGGAATTGCCCCCAACAGTGGCAACTGCTGCGCCGCAGCTGCTGCTGTTGCTATTGCCAACTGGTTGTGTGGCTGTCGCATCCAGGTCCGGGTCGGTGAGGGACTCGCAGCTGCTGCTGCTGTGTGCCGCCGAGTCCAGGCTCAGACTCTTGGGTGCCTCGTGTGTGTCTGCAAGAAATTTGTTCAGTTCAGTTTTATGGAAACATTTGGTTTCGATTTAACTTAATTTCTTAATTCTTTGAATAGAATTTTAGCAAAAAATACGAAAAGTACAACATGTTCCGCTCGACAAATTGTATAATTGTTATTTTCTATTAAAAACAACTACATCGCAAGTGAAATGTTTCAATGCAACACACATTTCGCATATTTAAAATTCAAATTGTGCCATTTGTAATTTAAACTTTAATTCGAAGTGTTTAAAGATTTGACAAAAATTGCTTTAAAGTTGTTTAGTAGCAGTTGTGATTATTTTGATATGTTTTTATTTCGAATTTTTCAAACACATTATCTGAAGAGCCTTAAGATTGTTTGGACCGTTGTCCAAATGAAATAAATAATTGAATTGAAAATTTAGTGAGCTTACCAAAGAGAGCGAGTAGAGCCTGCAGCACAAACTGGCAGTGACGACGATTCGCTTGCTTGCCGGTGCGTAGAACCACCTGATCCGCACCCACCTCGGTCAGATCGAAGCCAACGGAGGCGAGCAGCTCGTGACAGCCAGGAACGCGCCACAAGCGGACACTCAACGGCATCTCGATGCATGCCTCGGCTTCCGGTTTGGCTGGGAACTGTGCCAATATGTTGCGCACCACGGCAATTATATCATCTGCATGCTCAGCACTGTTCACCAGCTTGGCCAGCGCTTGCAGCGTGGCGGGCGTCAGTGCGAGGAGAGCCTGCAGGCTGGCCGAGCACTGCGACAGTCGCTCCTCGGGATCCGTTTGAGGAAAGAACACACTCGACGGTATACCATTGGCAGCGGGCTCAAACCGAAAGCCCACAGCCATCAGCAGATCCTTCCAACCGGCCACAGGTCCGGCCTTGTTCTCAATACTCTGCTGCGTTGTGTACATGGCGTTCTTCTGCCCGCGATGTATCCGTTGCAGACTCTTCTCCACCAAATGCAGGCACACGCGTAACGCATCCCGGCAACGCTCTGGCGTACGCAGCAACTCGCACAACGCATGGCCCAACAGTGCCACCTTGTTGGAGAGGCGTACATTGGCACCCACCAACAGGAATCCGGCCCAGTTGGCCGGATGGGCAAAGTGCTTCGTATGCTGCACGGTCTGCATGGCCTCCGCCAAGGCGCTGCAACAAAGAGAGAGAGAGAGAGAGAGCGAAAGAGAAATGCTAAGATTAGAGAAGAATTCGGCAATTTTAATCTTATCATTTATAATTATAATTAATTATCATATCCCGTCATTTGCAGAGTGCTTGGAATTCGACACTGATTTTTTTTATAGATCACATGGGGGAAAATCAGAAAAGTCTATTTTGAATATTTATAACTTGACTTTATAACTTGCTCGCTTATCCATTCATTTTAACGGACAATAACTTGGTTAAACCTATATATATATATATATATATATATATATGTATGAATCGAGTTCTTACTGACAACTTTACATATTGTTCTAGTTTTCCTACGTTTTTACATTCGAAACAAGTCGAAACTGTTTTGCTTTTCATTCGATCCGCTTGAAATACTTATCAAAGATTTATAAGAAAATCATTGGAAATTTTCTAATGAAAACTATAATCCTTATTATGCTGATTATACAAATTTCACCAAGAAATCCGGCAAATACGTTTTCATTTACTACTGGAGCTGCTATTTATATTTCGGATATGAGCTAATCTAGTGAAGCTAAACCAAATCTGACATCAACATTGTTCGATTTTGCTTGTATATTTTAAGATACTTATAAAGGAAACGAATTTTGATTTCTTAGAAGTCACTTGAAAAGTTGAACTCTGCCAAAAAGTGGAAATAGCCCGTTAAAAATACCTTGCAATTATTTTGAACAACTCTCCGAGTAATTGATCTAAACAAAAATTAGCTAATGAACCTAATTGAATTTAAGTATATTGATAGTGAAGAATCGTGGTTAATCCAAGAACAGTTGCTTAGCCAGATTTAAGCAGTCAAGCCCCTTTCATTAAATGGAAACTTGATCGTGCATCGTGCAAGATATGAGTCCAAATCACTTTCAAGTAATTTTTGACCGAAGTTGGCTTAATTAAACATGAGTATGCTGGCCATGTATGCTGGCCACAAGGCTCAAGTAGTCATTACTATATATAATGTATACATAATAGGTTCACTGCCGGCTTTTCCACTTATCCACTTACCGAGCGGCTCGTGCACCTTGAAGCAGGGCCGAGTAGAAGGCGCGCAACAGGATTTTTGCGGCAGTTTCGGGTACGGGCCAAAGTGAGATTAGAACAGCACCGGCGCCGGCTAATAGCCAGCCACCGGCCAGTTGGGCAACTCCCGAGCCAGTTATCGGTTCCACAGATTGATAGGAGCTGAGGACGACCAGGCGTGCGCCCAGACGCAACTGACGCAGCTCCGCTGCTGCGAGCGTAAAGTCGGCGAGCTGCGGCTCGTGTGGTTCCTTTTGTTGCTGCTGCTCGGCGGTGACGACATCCCCGGGACTGAGCACCACGGCACCCAGTTTCCAGCTGAGATTGGCGGCAAAGTGGACACATTCGGCGCCCGGCAGCTCGGCCAGCACGGACTCTTTGGTGGCATTGCAGCCGGCCAAAGCATTCGCTTGTAGCATATCCGCCACCATGGCAGCCTCCTGCAGCGCTGCCGGCGACTCAGCGCCGGCCCAGCCCCAGCGCTCGGCAAGAGCAGCGGGCACACGTGGTCCGCCCACAACCAAAGCCGTTGGCGGCCGTCCACGATCCCGCCGGCTTCTGGAGCGTCCACGCAACGCCTGCAATGATGGCGCCGTCAACAGAGCACAACGCTCCGACAGATACTCGCCATCGTCGCCAGCTGCACGCAATATGGCAAACGGCACCAGATAGAGGGCGCTATCGAGCACCAGGATCAGTTCTCGCCTGCCCTGACGGGAGACACTGGCGACGCTCGGCAGCAAATCATCGAACGGCGCCAACAGCAGATTGTAGAGAGTATGCAGGCAGGCGGGTCCGCGCCATGCGGGTGGTGCGGGTGCCCGGCGTGAACTGCGGCTGCCAACGGATCGGGTAGATCCTTGCAGCGAGGCAACGGATCCCAGCGAGAAGAGCGAGCTGAGCGAATAGTTCGACGAGTTGAGCAACTGATTTCGGCTGACCATGCGCAAAAATCCACCGCCGCCGGCACCAGCGCCAGGTAGATCCTCCAACAATTGTTCACTGCTGGCACGCCAACCACTGCCATCACCCTCATGGAGTAGATTGTGTGAGTTGACGCCAAGATTGTCGCGCACCATATTCACGTAGCGCTCCAGCAGCAGTTGACCATCTGCTGGTCGGTTGGGCTGATGTGGTTGCTGCTGCAGCTGATGATCATTTTGTTCGTTGTCCGGCCCTTGCTGCTGCTGCTGCTGCTGCTGCTCCTCTTCCTCCTGTTCATCCTCCTCGTGGCACTCGCTGAGCGAGAGGGGCAACTGGAGCGTTTGTGGATCGATGCGTGCCGCATGGAAGCGCACAATGCCCGCCTGCGGCTGCAGCAGCCAAGCGTAGAGTTGCTCCCCGGCCAGGCTGTAGTAGAGCACTGGCATTCTGCCCCGGTTCACTGCCTCCAATATGGCCTCAATGTCTGTCAAACTCGTGCTCGCAGCGGTTGCTGCAGCAGCTGTTGATGATGTTGTTGTTGTTGTTATTGCGGCGCTTATTGTTGTTGCTGTTGTTGCGGCCTTTGCATCATTGATAAATGCATCCGCGCCACAGCGCGCCTTGCAACGTTCGGCGGCAACAAGAGCATCCTCATTGCGCTGCAGGGCGACGAGTAGCTGCTGCAGCATATGATAACAGCTCGTCTGCAGCTCGTAGAGAGCCAGCCGTGCCTCTGGACTGCGCTGTTCCTGACGCACCGATTCCAGCAGCTGGGCAGCTGTTTCCAGTTGAATGCGAGCGCCCTCAGCGTCGCCAGAGGAGCGCAGAGCAAGACCTGGACAGAAGTGCAAAGAAAATAAATTTAAAATTACAAGAACAATTATCTCTTTTATTTTGAGTTTTCCACTCAGAAAATAATCAATAACATTTACTCGATAGATTAAATGAATTAAATTACTTAAGTTAACTACTTCAATAATCTCCCTGTTGACCCCTCCCCTCCCTAATTAATCCTCTTGCTATGCTAGGTGCTCCACTTGTAGCTAAATTACTAAATGGTTTAAGGACTAATTAATCCTACTGTGCTACTAATTATTCCTTGCATGATCCTTTAGTCTGATTGAGATTTGATCTGTTGCTGTTCACTTACCCAGTTGATGTCTTATCTTTGCCTCCTCCTCCGACTTGCCAATTGACTGAGCACTGGTTAGACCCTGTCTCAGATACTCGACGGCCTGGGCGTGCTGCTCAAGCTGATGGTGGACGCGTCCCAATGCCCCACAGGCCAGCGCCTTGCCGAGCCGATCTGTGCTGAGTGCGAGCTGGCGTTCGTAGCACTTGAGCGCCTCCTGCTGCTGATACAGTGCCTCATGCACGGCGCCCAGATTGCCAACGGCTCGTGCCTGTAAGCCGGGCGCCGCCAGCTCTGTGCACAGCTGTAGATCCTGTTCGTGCAGCTGCAGTGCGTCCGCATAGTGGCCCATCCGCTGCTGCACCTGGCCGAGCGCACACATCGCATCCGATTCGAGGGCGCGATCCTGTAGGCCTCGTGCCAGCTCGCGCTGATGCTCGAGACAATTGAGTGCCTGGGCATGATTCCCCAATGCAGCATGGACATGTCCCAGATCACCGTAGGCTAGAGCCTTCACCTCGGCGCTGTGCAGCTCGTGGGCGACGACCAGACGCTTCTCCAGGCAGACCAGAGCCGTTGCCAGCTGGCCGAGAGCACGACGTGCTTGGCCCAATCCGCGATAGGCACGCTCCTGATCCCGATGGCTGGCTAGGCCCAACGCCAGCTGCAGTTGACGCTCATGACACTTGAGCGCCTCCTCATAGTCACCCAAAGCCGCGTAGCAATCACCAAGATGACCCAGTGCACGTGCCCGATCCGCTGGCGTCGATGGCAGCGACACACGCTCCAGTGTGCCCAACTGCGCCTCCAGACACCCGATGGCTGCCTCATAGTGTGCCATATTCAGTCGGGCAATGCCGAGATTGCCATGCGCCTGCGCCTCGACAGCCTCATCCCGCTGCTCCTGGGCTCGCTCCAGTTGCTCCTGATAGCACTTGACCGCATGCGTCCAGCTGCACAGTGCCATGTGAACGGCACCCAGATGGCCATGTGCACGACACTCGCCAGACAGATCGCCCAGCTCCTGGCGTAGCGTCAACTCCTGAGTGTGATGTCCCAGCGCCTTATCCCAGCGCCGGAGCAGGCGATGCGCCAATCCCAGAGCACCGCACGCAGCCGCCTCCATGGCACGCTCTCCGGCAGCACGGGCCAGTCCCAGTTGACGCTGATACAGCTTAATGGCCTCTTCATGCGCTCCGGTGCGGATGAGAATGTCACCAATGTTGCCCAATGCCCGAAATTTGGCCGGCAACTGTCCGGTCGCGTGGGCAACCGCTAGGAACAGCTGCTGGCATTCGAGCGCCGCTGCTGAGTGTCCCAGCGCCAGATGGGCCAAGCCCAGATTGCAATAGGCTCGTCCCATATGCGGTCGATGTTGTGCATCCTTGGCCAATGCCAGATCCTGATCATAGTAACGCACCGCTGCCCGATAATTGCCGAGGCAATAGTGTGCATAGCCGAGCAGATGACACGCCTTGCCTTCGGCAGCAACATCGCCCAGCTCCTGGGCGAGCATTAGATAGCTCTCATAGTGAGGCACTGCCTCCCCATATAGCTGGCGAGCACTCAAACAGTTGCCCAGATTGAGCAGGGCGCAAGCTTCACCCGCCGCATCCTTCAGCGATCTGGCTGTGGCCAGATGGGCACGATAGTGCGCCAGTGCCGCATCATGGGCGCCCAGCGCCTGATATGCGACAGCCAGATTACCGTGTGTGGCTGCCTCGGCACTGCGATCATTCACCGCCTGACTGATGGCCAGCTCCTGTTTGTGATATTTGACGGCTGCCTCATACGCACCGGCAGCGGCATGGGCATTACCCATATTGCCATAGGCACGACCCATGCCCGCCCGATCGCCCAGAGCGCGGGCAATGCCCAAGTGCGCCTGATGCAGCTTGAGGGCCGCATCGTGTGCGCCCAGCAGCTGATAGACAATGCCCAAATTGGAGCAGGCCCTGCCCTCGCCCAGTTTGTCGCGGGCAGCCAACGCCATCGCCAGTTGGCGTTCATGCCACCGTTTGGAGGCGGCTGCATCGCCTGCACAACGTGCCGCATGACCCAATCCGGCATAGGCACGCGCCTCAATGCTCCGATCGCCCAGCGTTTGGGCAATCCGCAGCACCTGCTCGTGACATGCGGCTGCCTGTCCGAACTGCCTGCGCTGGTGATGCGCTGAGCCGAGATTCGAATAGGCTCGCGCCTCCTCCACCTGATCGTGCAGCTTGCGTGCGAGCCGCAGATGCTGCGTATGGCAATCGAGGGCCGCCTCGCATTCGCCCAGTGCCAAATAGACGGCGCCCACATTGCCAATTTCGCGTGCCTCCTGCAGACGATCGCCGAGCTGCTTGAACAGCTGCACGCACTGTTTGTGCGAGGCGAGAGCATTCGGATAATCACCGCTGGCCGTGTACACATGGCCCAGCGATGTCAGTGCGGAGGCAGCCGCCTGGGTATCCTTGCATTTCATGGCGAGCACCAGTTGGTAGCGATGCGCTGTCAATGCCTCCTTGTAGGCACCCTGACTGAAATAGGCGGAGCCAAGATTGCCATGCGCCCGACACTCGCCAGCCGTGTCGCCCAGTGACTTGGCCACGGCCAGATCCTGTTGCATATAGCCAATGGCCTGGTCCAGCTGGTTGAGCGCCCAATGCGCCGAGCTCAACGCACTGAATACCGAACCGCGAAGCTTGAGCGAACAGCTGCCAATGCGCAGCGCGGCCTCGAGAACGGCGACAGCTGCCTGGTATTGTGTCGCCTGGAGCAGCTCTTGGCCAACCACCGAGCTAACCACAAAGGGCGATTCGTGAAGCTGCATTGCCCGCAACTGTTGCAACGTCGGCTCCAATGCAGCGCGGAGCGGACTCTTGAGAGACGCCTCAACGAGGCCGGCGAGCAGCTGTTTATGACTCGGCTCCTGGGCGAGACCGGCGGCAAAGGAGGCCAACGCCTCACCATATCGGCCCAGGCACTGTAGTGCGACACCTTGCCGAAAGTAGGCCTTTGGCCACTGCGGACACAGTTCACGTGCTTGGGTCGCATCCTGTAGAGCCGCCGAAAACTGGCCTTGCTTGAGCCGTGCCGCCGATCGATTGCTGTAAAGTATATGATTGCCCGGATCCAGCTGCAGTGCGTCCGTATAGAGCAGCACAGCGGTGGCAAAATCACCGCTCTGGCACGCAGCATTTGATTGTCGCACCTTCTCCAAGAAGAGCGCGCGATTCGCGGCGGGCAGCTCCGGCGTGCATTCCGGTTCGTTCTGCAAATGCAAATGCCCAATGAGAATCATTAATATTAATATCATTATCACTCAATATAAATAATATGTTTGTGGCTAAATTTGTTTAATTTTTGATTTAGCCTAGGCGAAAAACCAACTCCTGTTTAACCATCGGTCGAAAGATAAGTTATAACCTAAGCAAATTTTTTATTATAATCCTAGCATGATATCCGACTTATATATCATATAGTAATATATTATGCAATCATTAAAAAAGAGCATTCTAACATATGTATGAAATCACTGCCAGGCCTTATTATTTGCATCTTCAAAACAATTTAAAAATGCTTAGCTTAAGCCGCAATTAAACCAAATTTTTTTCCAAAGACTAATCTTGTTTGCTAGCTTAAACTTAAGAATGAAAGAAAATCATAATTTCAATGCGGTTGCTCTCTCAAAATTGATTTAAATTGGCCAATTTATATAAGTCATCAGACGATCATACATATGCAGTCGACAAACAATCAATATTTTATGTCAAATTTGATTAAGCAGCATTGCAACATTATTAATAAGAAATTAACATAATAATACATATTATTACACATAAATAGATTTGATTCTAAGAGCCTAAGCTCGTCAAGACCTGGATATAATCAAATTATGCAATAAATTAAAGCTGAAAGCAGGGCGAATTTGTCCCACTGTGCAGCCCCAATGTTGCGCTGTAATTATGTTAAATTGCCGCCGCAGTCGCAGTTGCAGTTGCAGTTGCGAGTCCAGGCTACAGGTATGCGACCACTGAGTCACGTTTCCCGGGCAACATCCAACTGGCAACTGGCAACTGGCTGAGCAGCAACTTGCTGAGCGGACCAGTCTCCAGTTCCAGCAACAGCTCTGCTCGTCAAATGCGGAAGCAATTCCACGAATTCGTGGCCCAAGAACTAAGCCACGACGCGCAACAAACAGCAAACAGCCAAGTTAACAGCGGCAGCCAGTGGCCAAGAGAGGTGTTGAAGTCTAAGCCTTTTTTTTTTGGTTTTTTTCTCCTTTTTTTTGGCATAAGCCACGCCATGAACGAGACAAGACGAGACGAAAAAGAGAAAGAGAAGGCGCGTGAGAAGGAGGACGATGGCAATGGCCAAGATGCAAAGAGACGAAGTCAAAGTCGAAGTCCCGGCCATGACAAGAGCGAAGAATTTTTACATATTTTTGAAGCAATTAAATGGAATGAGTATGCAAATGCATTAGCCCAGCTTCAAGACACTGAAAGGCACATAACCCAAAACCGAAACCGAAACCGAAACCGAAACCAAAACCAAAACCAAAACTGAATGCAAAGCCCAAGACCAACACGATGAGTAGTTTCCTAGAAAACGTGCACAACAAGTGCCAAATGCCAAGTGCCAAGTGCCGTTCTCCTCCAAGTGGCTGGGGCCAATAGGGTCGTCGGTAGTAACGTGCTTAGATTAGCCTTCTGGCTTCGATGTTCTTCTGTTTGTTGTTGTTGTTGTTAGTTATGTTGTTGTCGCTGTTCCTCACTATTTTTATTTTCATTTTTATATTTTATTTTGAATTTTTGGATGCTGGCAATGCGAATAAATCAGCTCGTGGATACAACATATGTATGCACATAGAAACTCGTACAAGTGGCAGCCGCAAAGTGTATCTGACAGATGCAGAACGAAATTTATGTTTTATGCAACCATTAAAGCGCACCCGTGCCCCGTCTGTCCAGGAGTCCGTCCGCCCGGCCGGTCCACTCGCCCGATAAGCCAAATGAAGTGGGCGTCACAATACAATGATGTTGATGATGAAGACGAAAACGAAGACGAAGACGAAGACGAGGACGAAACGAAATTTAACAAAAACAATCAAAAGTAAAAACAACAAAAACACGAAACGCAGAAACGTCGAACAACTTTAAAAACCACTCGCATAACTTAGCAAAATGAAATTTTTGCACAGCGTTGGCGTTGCTAGCGCAGATCTCAGCATGCAGATTGGCCCAAGACAGACAGACAGGCAGACAGACAGACAGATAGTCAGGCAGTCAGACAGCACATGGTCAAAGTCAAATAAACACGCACAGAACATGGCCAGGCTAACATCGACCCAAACGGACAGATTCTCTTGTCGAAGGGCAAGCCGAGCGGAAGGGTGACTCAGACAGACAGACAGACAGACCGAGAGTGAGAGAGAGAGAGAGAGAGAGAGAGAGAGAGAGAGAGAGAGAGAGAGAGAGAGAGAGAGAAATACGAGCAGATTGAACTAGGCATTTATCCGAGACAAGGGCTAAGCTGCGGATAAGTTTTCTTTACTGTGACGTATCTATAAAAATCTTTGTCAAACGTCGGAGCCGATGTTGAACAATATATATATATATAAATAAATAAAAATAGAATAAAATAAATATATAAAAATATATATAACGGAATCAAAGAATTTTGTGCAATCAATCAATTAAAAAGTGATCAACCCCCTTTTCTTCTTGGCAGCATGGTCAAACTTGGATAAGTTCAAATATTTGGCTGTAAACTTAACAAATGGTTCGTTACTTAAACATTACAACTTTAATTCGACTATCTGAATAAGCTGATAAACTGGTATTGAGTTAATGATTGAAATCGGTTGTTGTCGTTGAGCTGGCAACTATTTACATTCACAAGAAATTGTATCTGCTTCATAAATTCATAGCGCTACTGCGGATAAATGCATTTCATCGTGTATTCTATCATTATGCAATGTTATTCACGGAACGAGACAATGACTCAGTTTATTCGTATCTCCATAGAGAGAGAGAGAGAGAGAGAGAGAGAGAGAGAGAGAGAGAGAGAGAGAGAGAGAGAGAGGGGGGGAGAGATGGAGTTACTTGCGACCCTTCCGCAATGCGTTGCGTGCGTCATGCAGTGTATCAATTTAGGGATTGGCGCCCAAAAGGCCGCATAGAGAATTCATGTAAATTGATATGCTGCTATTTGCTATCTCGCTCCAACAACAGCAGCATCAAGAAAGGCTCATTTTCAAAAATAGTTAAAGGCGGCCAAGAACTGTTTTTAGACAGAGGCTGCAATCAGAGACAGCGCAGAAGAGAAAGACAGACAGTGATATAGATAGAGAGCGAGAGAGAGAGAGAGAGAGAGCGATCGGGGCGGCCAGGAATGTTCAAGCAAAAAACCAGCGATTTGAAAACTGGCTGCTTGCGCCTGGGCGGATGGCGGACAACAGCACAAAGCAAAAAATAGAGAGAAAAAAAAGTGGCACTCAAAGATGCAACCAGGCAACAGCAGCAGCAGCAGCAACAGCAACAGCAGCAGCAGTTGGCTGCAAGTTGTTGCCTGCCATGCCACATGCACCATGTTGAAGTTTATGTATGGCAGTGGAGAGGAGGGCTTAACTGCCTAGTGGCCTGAGCCACAACCAGAGCCAGAGCCAGAGCCAGAGCGAGAGCCATATGTGAGGCCAGAGGCACCGCATTCGTCCCGACGGCCCATCGATAAGGTCTCCGCAACGGAATGCCAACAATTTCACGATTGCTTGTGGCGCACATTGGCATGTTTTGCGCTTAAGTCAAGAATTTTGTTGCAATTTAACGCGTAATAAAATAATTAGCTGTTGCTTGCCCATTCCCCATTAGCCCCTCTCAACAAAACCAAAAAAATAAAATAAAAAAAAAAAATGAACAAAAAGAAGAAATAAGCAAAAACTTATCCACAACCCTTTTCTTGTACCCGGCTGAAAGCTTAACCGAGCTGCCCAAAATGCAGTGAACCAATTTACCGTCATCTAGTTGCCAAGACCGAAATTACAAACGCAAAACCCAAAACCCCAGACGGATCAGTCAGTCAGTCCCAGAGAGACAGACAGACAGACAGACAGAGAGACAGAGAGACAGAGAGACAGAGAGTCAGTTAGTGAGACAGCTGCAGGGAGCTTCTAAACATGCGCCAGAAACTTATCCAACATCGTTGACGTTGTCGTCCTCAGTTTCAGCTTCAGCTTCAGCCTTAGCTTCAGCATCAGCATCGTCGTCGTTGTTGTTGTAGTAGTTGTTGTTGTCGTCGTTGTTGCCCATGACATGACAGCGCGGAATATGATGAAAGGGCCTAGGGTGTAGTCAGAGCTGGAAATGGTTTTGTGTGTGTTTGGCGTTTTTATCTCTGCGCTTTGTTTAATTTGGCGTGTGTTTCATAGTCGTTGTTGTTGTTTAGCCCTTTTGTAGTATCGCCGCTCAGTTAATCAACATTGAAATCATTTTGCCATCTTTTTGATTATTAGCGCTGGCTTCCTTGATTGTTTTTGCTCTACCCTTTTTGTATTTCTGTGTCTTGTTTTTATTGTTGTAGTTCTTATTTTTAAGCGCACTGCATGATTCAAGTTCTTTTTTTTTGTGAAGACCGTAAACATATAATTGTCGTAATGCATAAGTTGAGAACGATACGATATACATGTACTATATGTACATATACACACATGATCAACAGGCTGCCAGTGGTGCCTGCATGGAGATGAAATGAAATTTTTCGAAAAGCGAACTTATTCGCTGCAAGCCCAGTGTGAAAATATTGATTCACCAATTGAACAAGTTTATTATAAAAAAACAATATATATATGTTTATAAATTCCAAACTTATGTTCTAATAAACTACAAATGAAAACCGCCTTAAAATCGATCATTTTTAATTTCCCATTTCCATTTAAGTTTCTCAGTTCCACTGCGATTCCCGGACTTACCTCGGAGAAATCCCGCTGCGACATCTTATTCAATATATGCTCGCCAATAGCAATTTTGCCATTGTTTTCAATATTATTTGCATGATTATTTGCATTAAAATTTAATGGCAAATTTATAAGATTCTCATAATTCGTCATTTGTATGCAAAAACCATCAAAGCGCTTTCAGCATGCCGGTCTGTAAGAAAACAAATAACAAAAAATCAGCAGATTAGAGAGAGGGAAACAAAGAGAGAGAGAGAGAGAGAAAGAGAGAGAGAGAGAGAGATAGATGAATAGGCAGATTTAGAGAGAATGCTTATGCGAATTGAGAGGGCCAAAAACATACATGCATGTACATAAGTCTCACATTGGCATTGGACAATGAGACAAAACTTTCAAATGCCTCAACGGGAGAGTTCTAGAGAAGTTTGCCTGTTGACCAACCAACGTCAACTTGGCGGCAACTCTTATGCAAATTCAACTGTGGTCGCTGCCATTGCCGTTGCCACAGTCACATAAACTTGACAATTGAATGTGGTCATAAATTGTTTTGTGGCCCGGCAGACGTGTCCGCGTCCGCGTCCACGGCAACGGCACAGTGGCCTGGCCACAACTGTGTGCGAATTCTGCCGCTTACTGGCCAGCGGCGCCTCAATATCGTGACCATCGGCCAGCCCCAGCCCCAGCTCCAGTCTCTGTTTCGGACTCAATCTCAGTTCCATTCTGAATACAAGTCGCTGAGCAGCTTCTTCTTGTGCAAACACATTGGATATTTAATTTGTTATCATTTAATTGAGTTTGGCGGTAGCTGTCGACGCCGGTCTCAGAGAAAGTTCACATTAACAAAATGAATTAAAAGCCAAACGGTCGCTATGTGAACCAAATGACTGAATCAATAAAATTGCCCATTCTCATAAGTAGCGCAAGGAGGGTTTAAGTTGTGCTTGTCTACCGATGCACATCAGAAGGGCGTCGCCGTGTTTCACCTCACAGACTCTAATTGAAATATTACGCACAACAATGAAATACTTGGGAGACAAACATGATATGCCTCAGAATCGAAGAACGGAAGACTTAGGACACAAACTGATTGCGCTTTCTTAATGAGATGCACAGCTAGCTTAGGTTAGGTATTTCTTAGACTATCGACATTATATATTTTAATAGAATACGATAAAAGTATTCATAAGAAAAATTTAAATACATATATTTTAATATAATGTTGCTGCCTTATTTGCGATCTACAGTATTGCAATCAGCCATAAAATATGCATATACATGCATGAAGCTGTTTCTTTACTCTCCCTCCACAAAAATGCGCTTGTCAATTGAACTGCTGCCTGTTTTTTCTTGTCTTTGCAGCTGGCTTTTTATGCGATTTCATTTACCCCTTATAATTGTTGTTGCTGTTTTTTTAGAGTATTTTTTTAAATGTATTTTTTTTTTTGTTGTATTTTTTTACGATTACAAAGCCCAGTTTCATTACAAATGGGCTAATTTAGCCGCGTTAATGGTTTCATATTTGTAGTTTGCCCGGTCGATTTATGCCAGCTGTGATACTAAAAAGAGTCGATCAAATGCGAGCGCAAAAAGCGGAACAGCTGAAAAGTATTGATTGTGTCGACCAGAGTTGAGCAATGTCCATTTTAGCTTGATGTTCGCTCATCTGCATTGGCCAGTTTTTGCCACAAGTCTTTTGCAGTTGTGGTTTGTTAATTGAGCAAAAATGAAGTCATACGGGAAATGATGTCCCCTAAAGCACAACGTGCATTTATTTTGTGTTCAAATATCTACAGAAACATTCAATTTGCGACTAATGACAATTATACCATTTTCGGTTCATTCGAATGCCTAATGCAGAGATCTAAGCAAATGTTGTCGAAGTCGCTCTTAATGAAAATCTATAATTAGCTGACTAGACTTGACTAACTATGACTTTTAAAATGTAAATATTTTTCTTAAATTATTTCACTATCAAGCATTATTTATGTATGTAACATTAACAAAAGAGCTTTGTGCCAAAAATAAAATGTATTTATTATAATTTGCCAATCATTATTGGGTTTTATTCTAAAAGAAGACTGAAGTATGCAAGCGGCTTAAGCTGACACAAATGATTTTGATTCATTTTTGATTCTAATTCAATTATGTTTGTCGAACTTATCTCTTTCGTTTTCTTTTATATGAAATTGTATAGGTTTCTGACCATCCTGAAGTCATTTGAAATGCGACTGAGTCCACAATGGCAACTTCGTTGGCGGTTGTTTAACAAGGCCAGAACACAGCTCTGGGCAACAGCGGATGAACGAAAGAGCTGGGTCTTTATTACATGATTTCCGCTATTAAAATAAAACACTTTTGCATAATTGTTCACTTACAAACGACAAGAGCAACATCGACAACATCAAGAGCAACAATAACAACAGAGCTGTGCAATGACTAAGGCAATGAAGAAGGCAACAACAAAAATAAATAATAATAAAAACGACACAAAGAAATTCCTCACGCTTCATAACGCCCGCCAGGCATGCCCAAAAATTCCGCAAAACAACGCCTACCCCGACTCGAAGGCGAAGAGTCCAAGTCGAGCCATCAGCCATCAGATTCAGTACCCAAGACCGGGGCCAAGTCACAGTCAAAGTCCCGGCCCACCAGTTGAGCAGGCTCGTTGATCGTCATCGTCATCGTCATCGTCAACGTCGTTCGCTTTTTGATGATGCCTGCTTGCAACCTGTTGAAATGTGTGACAAATTGGGCGTAAGCAGCCAATATGAAAAAGGGTGACCACCCCACTTATCCCCTTCCCCCTCGCTCTCCCACACCCTCTCACTTGTGTCCAACTCTTTCTCATTCACTCAACAAACGTGGGCGTGACGAGCAGCGATTTTCTTATGTTGCTTATATTTATTTTTATTTTATTTTTTTTTCCCCCTTTTTGTTGTAGAGGATTTTTTCGCGAAGCAAAAAGTGATGTTAAGCACAGCCTAAAAATTAAGCCATAAATTTAAAGTTTATTAGCATGCAGCCCACTTTTCTGGTACGGACAAGAAGCGAACGAAAGTATTAATGCTGAACAAAATGTAGCAAGGTGCTTAAGTATTTTGGTGATATTTTTCAAGCACTTTATTTGATAAGCACTTGAATCGAGCAACACTAACAAAACAATCAATTTGTAGATCATCATGCTAAGTGTGTGTGTGTGTGTGTGTGTGTGTGCTGCCCAAGGCAACCAAAATTGTGGCTCACTCGGAGCACGTTTCAAACCGAGTTCGTTCTATTTGGATTCGTTCAAGTTCGTTGCCTAAGTCGTTTGTTTGTCAGTGTGGCATATAATTAGAGTGAACCACAATAAATACAAATATATATGTATATATTGAAAACATGCTTGCGGTTATTGCTGCGATTTGCTTTGCTGTGGCCTCTACTTAGAGCTTGCTTGCCTATGAAAGAAACACCCGTACAATTTCATTAAAACTCATTAAAATTATTTGGCCACTTTGTTGCTGCTGCTGCTGTTGCTGCTGACGAGAAAAGTCAGCAATCCGTGCACGAAACGTACTCAAATGTTTGTACGTATTGTATGCGTGCTTGTATGTATATATATATATATATATATACGTACAAACATATATATATATATATATATATCCGTCATGGAACAGAATGAAAATCAAGTTTAATGAAGCCAAAGACGAAGTTGTAGCCAAGTCCAAGACACTTGTTGCTAGTTGCTGCTGCTGCTACTGCTACTGCTGCTGTTAGCCACATTGTTGCTGCCTTATAAGCTGGCGTGCATTTGTTGTTGCCCACAATGCGAGTGGCACGATGTAATTGACATCATTAGACTAAAGCGCGATCAGCAAACAGCGTACAGCGACCAATTCAAAAGACCAAAAGGAGCGCTAGAAAGTGGCCTGCCCGAGACCCGTTATCAGCGCTAACGTTAATGTTCACCGTTCCCGCCATGTCAATGGCAATGACCCGCCGCAATGAGCTTACTACTACCCCCTCCACACCCTGCTGCAGCCTCACTTGCAGTGCTTGCAGCAACCCAAATTCTAAATTCTAAAAATTTGGAATTCGAATTGAAATGCAAAATTCCAAATTGTATTATGACCATGACTATACATTCATGTGTTTATATATACATATATTTATATATATATATATATAAATATATATATATATATGAATGTGTGTATAGATGCTGAATAACTGTTTTCTCTCTAATTTGATTTATGCATCACATATACGCGCATGTATTTAAATTTTTAATTTCCCCCGGCTTTGTCGAATAAACCATCATGTTTAAGCATTTTCGGGCCACATGAAAATTTTCACTGGCAACTTAAAGCCGCCACTTACCATGGAATGTGGCGACAGCGTCCGATTTGGAGTCGTCGTAAATTTGTTTCTGTTGTGTTTTTTTTTTGTGTTGTGCGCCTTTCAGTTGCCCATATACCAACATCTATATGCATATGTACATGCATATATATAAATATATATATGTATTTGGATACGTATTTAATTTGTTCAGGTTTGTGGGTTGAAATCTGCTTACTGCTGCCTGCACGTAAGATTTTTCTTTTCCTTATAACATTTTTAAATTTGTTTGGGATTGAGAGTTTTTGAGTTGATTATGTTTATTATAGAATGGAAATTCGAGCAGAGATTTCGAGGATTAACAAATTTCTCAATATGCAGACAAAAACTGTTCGACTGTTCAACACATAATTCATAACATTTGAGTGGCTCTCCAATCTCACACATACACATACACAAACTGTGTGGGCATTATGCTTGATTAACTGCAATAGTTGCTTCTGTTGCTGCTGTTTGCTGCTTGGCTTATTATCATACAAATGACTTAGGCAACGAACTTGTTGTCTACACACACACACACACAAAGGCACACACACACACACACAAACGCACACACACACACACGTACGCATACATATTACGACGTTCTTAATGACCGCATTAATTTGATTAATTCCAAATATTTGTTTGGCTTCACACATTTTGGAGTTTTAATTACTTTCAATTCGTTCAAGTGTTGTTGTTCTTGCATGTGGCTTGTTGCTTGTGGCTAGTTGGATGAACTTAAGCCATATATTGTTTAATTGCAGTTACTTTAGGTGAATATGTGCCTTTGAGTTGGCCAGAATGGCATTTGGGCATGCCCAAAGCCAAGCCGCCTTAAAGCAATGCACACACACACAAGCACACACACACACACACACACACACACATGCAAACAAACAACAAGCTCTCTCCCTGTCTCTCTCTCTCTCTTTATCTCTCTGTCTGACTCTTTTGCACATACACTCTCAAACGTGGCTAAAACAAGTCAGGCAACTTTTTTTCTTTGTTTTTTTTCTCCTCATTTTATTGGAAGCGGCCGCCGCTTTGGATTGCCTTCCTTTTTTTTCCTCTCTTTACTACGACTACAACCACTGTATTGTTGTTGTTTCTGTTGCCTTTTTGTTATTAGTAGCATTTACTTTGGAATGCAACAAAGCGAGAACGTTTCGAAAAATGACGACGACGACGGCGATGTTGGCAGCGCCTTTGGCCATTGACGTCTTGTTGCGAAAACAGAAAAATGCATGGCCTGCTTAGCACAGCGAGAGAAAGAGAGAGAAAGGGAGAGGGAGTGAGAGAGATAGACAGAGAGAGAGAGAGAGAGAGAGAGAGAGAGAGAGAAGGAGAGAGAGAGGCCGCGTGTGAATGAGCAGAATTGAGGAAAAGCGAGATGCAGCGAGTGGGCGAGTGGACCAAAAACTGTATGAGTTCAAAGGCCGTTGCCAGTTGACCGTTTTTTTTTTTTTGGTTTTTTCTTTTTGTTTTTAACAAAATTTGGCACTTTACGAAAACTACTCACGCATTAGCACAAAAAGCACAACACATTAAAAAAAGAACACTTTGTTCGCCGTTGTTGTTATTTCAATAAAATAACAATTAAATAACAAACAAAATTAATCGAACCGCGTTAATTTCACTCTTTTCTCTTTGCTCGATGTTGAACGCGCCGCATGCAAAACTTAACTAAGCCAGGCACGGAGCAAAAGACGACGGGCGACTTGCAAACAAAAATGAGAGCGCGACTCGAACTCAAGCGTGGAGCGCAGCATAAAGCAAAAGACAAAAACAGGTACACAGCTATAACAAGTATTGCGACCCGTTTACCTGTTTGGGTCGCTCAATGTTTTTCACCGATCTGGCAGCACGATCTGTGGCAATGCCAGCTGAATAAACATATCAATGTTATCGATAACGATCGACACGCAGTTCTGTATCATTGAGCTTGCTCACTCCAAATCGAGTTAGACAAAAGCAACCAGAGTTTGCTAGACTTGGTCTAAATGTTGCTTATTATTTGTATAATTGAATAAATTGTGCATACTTTTGGGCTGTTTTGACTAAATGTGACTCTTGTGTGTGTCTATAAAATGATGCTTGAATCACGTCAATTAATTTAGTAGTCGACAAGTTCTAGAACTGTCAACAACGACAAACGTGAAAGATGTCTGGTTGGAAATTACTGGTGATCGGCTGCCTGCTGTTGCAATTGGCTCTGGCCAGTGCTCAGCCGCCAATAAGTAAGTCTCAATTTGGATACATTTGGTGTAACAACTCGAATTCGTTGTAAATCTCAAATTAATAGCGCCTCGCACCTGCGGCATCAACGAGACCTATTTGCCGTGCGGCCCCAGCTGCCAGACGGAGTGTGCCACATTGGGGCAGCCGTGTCTGATAAATCACATTCGATGTCCCGATGGTTGCTACTGCAACAAAAACTACGCCCGCAACGCGAGTGGCACTTGCATTCCCCAGGCGCAGTGCAAAAAACGTGTCAAATAATAATAATTAAAGCTCAATTCTGATTTTCAACAGTTGCTATTGTTTTGATTCAACTTTGTTTTTGTTTTCGTTTTTTGTTCTTTTCTGTTTTTAGCACATGACAGGTTTTAATTTCCATTGTGGCTCGTTGACAAGAGGCTATATTTGTTTACTTGTACACACATATGTACAATAGTTAGTTCAGCATACCAGCATTTTTGTTGTTTTATATTTTGATGAGATGGCAGATTACTTGATGAAGGCCTCAATAAATGACAATCGGTTAACGATTTTTTAGTACAGTCATCAAAACATACATACATAGTTGGAGGGTGGAAGTAGCTGCTCTCCCCGCTTACGTTTCGTTAATTAGAATTTATCAAAACTTCCAATACAAAACTAAACGTATAAACAAAAAAAAAACCAGACTCACATACACATTGCACATGTTAATTTGATGGCCAATGTCTACAGTTTTAGAGCTTAGAGCTTTAGAGCCTTAGCTGCGCTCTGATCAGTGGTTTGTGTCTCGACTGCCGCTTACAGTTTGATGAACTTCGTTAGAGTCTTAAGATGAAGCTATATTTTAGTACGAACGATTTTTATAAAAATTATATTGACTGCCAACTAATTTCGCTTGAATTGTTCACATATTTAGATGAGTTAAATTTAGGCAATAATTATGAACATCATTTAAGTACTCTGCTCGAGAAGTCGCTAAATCTGCATCGACCATCATATGTCTGGGCCATGCCGTTTGACTGGGCCCTGAATAAATATTGGCTAGACTTTTTTTTGGCCTAGCTTAGTAGCAAACTCAAATGGCAGACATCTTATCAATTGACAGACATGCAACAACAACAAGAAGGTGCTGAGAACGCCACAAAGGAAATCTAAATCCACAGAATCAAAGTCGCGTAACGTTAAAAAAGAAAGAAGAAAAACCCGTTGTAGGGCAACGTAGGGGGGGGGGGGGGGGGCATGAGGGTGTATTGGGGGTATGGTTAGGGAGTGAATCGAGCGCTGACAGCATGCAAAATGTAAATGTTTGCTGTCATTGAGTCGAAAATGTTGGCGAGAGCCCAAACCAAACGTTAATAAACTCACGTCAGGCATCACTCACATAGCCCCTCACCCCCCTTGAGAGGGATGCTCAATTTACAGGAGTAAACATGTCGACGACAGGCAGTCAGCCAGGACCCAGTCTATCTCTCTCTATCTCTTCTTTTTCTTTTTCTTTGTCTATTTTTATTTTGTCTTCTGTGTGTTTCACTTCTTTTGGCCAATTTCTGTACACAGATATTCGTACACATTCATATGTGTTGCATGCAATTTCGTTGGAATAAAAAGAACTGGAGCGCTTGAATCTAAAATGCAAACATGTTTCAACGAGCTTCGTGTATGCCACACATAAATACAGAGAGAGAGAGAGAGAGGCATGATACGTGTAGTTGCCGGCGACTATTTGCTTGTTTGCCTATTTTGCCTGTGACTGTGTCAAAGACGAAAGAAGCTGGCAGCGGCTCTTCAGATTTGTGTATTCCTCAAATTCATTGAATTCAGAATTTCAGAGCGAAAAGAGTCAACGAATGGGTAGCCGGCGAGTTGCATGCATAGCTCATAGCCACGGACTACAGACCATCGGACAATCGTACAATCGGAAATTCAAACGCAATCAACATGAAAAACTCAAGGGAGTACAAAAATAAAAAGAAATAGAAAAATGGAAGCTAAACCAATAGCAGCGAAGCGGATCGAGTTCAGTTTGATAAACGCCTGCTGGTTGATAGACTTCCTGCCGTTTCTGTGTCCGCCATATGTAAAACTGTTGCGGCGACTGCTGAAATCCTTTACCCATTTGGGAATATTAGACAAGTGCGATAATGCTGCGAAAGTTCGCATATGCTAAAACAATTAATTACCTATTATTTCCGTGAGAATATCATTGTACATAGGTACATAGGCATGGTATATATTTCGGTTATTATTATATATATTTTCTAAATACGTTACCAGTTACCAGTATGTTACGTATGCTTAACTAATTTGTTATATATATATTGATATTGATATGATATATCAAGCCCAGATCAAATTCAGATAAAATCATGAAAAGACATCTGCGAAAGCTGACCCTCAGGTAAAGTACTCCGACTGGATTACCGTAAAAACGTCTGAGAATTTGGGACTCACTCAGCTTAGAAAACTGTCCTAATTGTACTCTGTTACTGAATGTATCCAGAATATCCAATTTAAGAGCTAAGCCAAGCAAGCTTGGAAGGTGAATTACAAGCAAAGTCATCCGATACACAATCCCGCCCACAAAAAATGGTCGGTATTTCATAACTAGACTAACCTTGTTCTATTGCACCTCTTATCAAATATCTTATTGGTATCGAAATAATGCTTATATTATATTATATATAAACATATTTCATAAGCATAAGTAATAGAATTAAAAGCTATTTGGTAATTTTTATAGTTGAAGAAGATGAAGAACGGATGCTGTGAAATTTGCCTTGATAAAAAATAATTGACGAGGAGCCAGTGGAAAACATATTTAAATTAATAATTAATTTCTTCAAGTTGCTGTTTATTCTTTCTAGATGTGACAAACCAAACATCAATTTCTTGACTTACTAAGCTAATCGAATATTTACAGAAAAGTGTTGAATAAAGTTCTTTCCCTTGCAAACACTGAACGCAAAGCTGAATTTCAAGTGGATGCAGGGTTCAGCTCGTGCAAAAAGCGAATATGCTTCAAACCTTCGTTGATGTCGGATCAAACAAAACACACACATGCCAACACACACACACGCGCATATATATATATATATATATATATATATATACATACTCATCAAACGTATCGTATCAAAATCATCGACAGTCAGTTCTTGAGCTCTTTGTGATTGCTGTCTGGCATTAAAAAAGAGCCGACCTGTCCCAATTGTTGTTGGTGTTGTTGTTGTTGAAGACGGGTTCCGGAGGCCGGAGTCCGTTGAACGTTTCAATTCACAACTGACTGATTTTTTGGGGCTACGGCCATAAAATGCACATATAATATGACTTTATCTGGGCGGCCAGCAGTCAAACGTTTGGCATTGAAATGGGTACAAAATGTGTTTAATGTTAAGTTTTTAATACAATGCGAACAGTCGAAAGTTGATTTATGGCCAATACAAATACAAACAAACACACACACACACACACACACATTCAACCCCTGTAAACACACAAAAGCCAGCAAATTTTGCTCGCATTGTTGTGCTGAAAGTTGTCCCTAAACGATATCTGTTTATACAAATACAATGCGCTTGTTAATATTCCAAAGTTTTGAATTTGATTACTTAACTTGGTTTATGGCAATTGTATTTTAAATTTAGTAAAATGAGATGAGTAAATAGCTAATTATTAAAGCTAAGCTAAGCTAAGTTAAGGCACCAGTAATGAAATTAAAGTCTGAAAATATTGGAATATGGGTTATGATATAAATAAAAACTTCCTTCAAATGGTATAAGAGTATTCCAACAATACCGAAATCTTTACATACAAATTTACCTACTTCATTTTGCTATCCTGATTCTAGTCGATTTAATATATTAAAAAACTGGTATTTAATTTGCCAATCGCCACTGCACCAAAAGTTATCTTTATATGCAAAGAAGCTTGAATTCCAAATTAATTTAATAATTTTGAAAATGTAATTTTGTTGTCACAAAATGCAGTATTATAAATTTAACGTGCTTTCGTTAATAGGTTGTTACCTCGTTTTTTATATTTATAAATATATGAAATCTTACGTATAAAATGAATTAATGTAATTTATGTGTCCTTAAATTGTTGTATTGCAATTAAAAACTAATATCTTGTTGTATAAATAAATAATAAATATATAAATATAGCTATCTGTTGCTCTTGCATTGAGGCATTGAGGTCTTCAAATTTATAGACTAGAACCACAGGATCTGCTGAGCAAAAGGAACGCTTAAGAAAAAGCAAGACAGCTGGCAGGCAGTTGGAAAATGGATGGATTGTGGCACACAACACAACACAACCAAATACAACCCATTGTGAGCTGCATCTGCAACTGCAACATCATAATCATTGATTGGGGACCAATGTGTGTGTGTCATTCACACCTGGCTACCTGGCTACCTGGGCCTGGACAGCTAAATCGCCAAATTGTGAAAAGCATTGTGGAATCAAACGGAAACCATGTACCAGCCATGAAGATGATCAGCCAGCCGCTGCCGACCAAAATGATGGCGACCATGGATGGTGACAGTGACATCAAAGTGATAATGATGCATTGACAGCAGCTTTGTTTCCTTTCATTCGTTTTTAGAGTTGCTATTGCTGTTGCTGTTGCTGCTTTTGTTACTGTTATTTGTTTTTGGGCACTGGGAAACAGCATCAGCTAAAAATCAATGCAATTTGACAGATATCAAGCTGTATGGTATTTGACACATGCGACATTGGCGCTGTTGCCATTGTCAGAAACTGCATGTGCACCATGGACATGAACACGTACACATACAGCAACATGAGACCAAGGGGAGATCAACAGGGAAGGAGAGGGGAAGGGGGAGGGGGTAGTTGGATTTGAAGTAGTCTCTATTTGAAGTTGCTGTATGGCTGGCTGCCTCTGCCAGTGCAATTGCAATTGTTTTTCATAGTTGTGGCACTCAGCCTTTGACACAAACTTTGTCAGTTTATTGATTGTGATTTCGATCCCCTTTCCTGTCACATGCATTCAGATATCGCGTAGGTGTGCCACAGCTCCATTTTACTCCTCGGCATCATTTTCAATGAGACTCGTCTCATGCAGCTCAAACGCGTGTTATGGATTTACATTTCTCAGTAATATACCCTGTAGTTGTGAGCTGTGTGACAAGCGGTGTATTAGCTGACGAAATGAGATAAGATTCGATATATTCAGTTTCAGCAATCGATACTACATCGATCCATTCCGAGAATAATAATTTATTATACAGGCACAATTTTCTTCGGGTTATTCATAATTTAACTGCCTAAAAGTGTAAAAATAATAAATAAAAAAGTGTAATTAGAAGCAGAAATATATTCGAGCTTATAAAATAAAAAAAGCACATGACTTGAACCCAGTGTATACATAAATTATAAAAAGAGTTCATCAAACAGTAAACAATTAAATCGAAACATAATTCTTGACTATCTCGAATTTAGTTTTTATCCACGTAAATTGCAAAGCTGAATTACCATAAATTATTTTTAATGTTTGCATTCGAAGTAGTATATTAGTATTCAGTAGAACAAAGTATGTGCAAACTTGGATATTTTTTGATTATTTTTCTGTGTGTCGTATTTAAATTTTTACTGGACAAAAAGTTTGCTGTCATTTGTTTCTAGTTATTGCCAGAGTGAATTTATTTTTGTTGCAAGTGCTCGGGACTAAACGCAGTAGAACACACAGCCACTGACCCCACCGCTGACAATTGATTGCGGACAACCAACAAGCAAATTTTCAATCCATTTGCCATTTGCCATTTGCTATTTGCCATTTGGAGTCTGTGTTTGCGGTTTACATTCAATTAAATTGCAATGCACTCCTCAATGGATTTTAACTGTAACAATTACCTTTGAACAGCCACTAGAATAGCTTCGAAGACTGTCACGATCAGAAATCCATTAAAAAGAACACAAAACGAGTTTGATGTGTGTAGGTAACTGTTTTCGAGTTTGGTTAATCAATTGCACACAGCTTGTGCCTTTGTTATTAAGCCGCTCACCCTTAAAATCAATGTTTGGCTGACCTCTGTTTATGCTATACATAGATATCTATATATATCTATATACACACACATTATTATAATAGGATTCCTGTGTGCGTTTCAATTAATCGCTCATGCAGTGCTTGATTATGAAAATGAATTGCTTGCATTAAACAGCACACAGATACATTCATAAGTATATACAAATTCGGTTGCAAATTGACCCGACACACACTCACACATGCACACGGACACAGATGGCTGTATGCTGAACAATAAGCCAACTTAATTTACCAATGGATCATCATCATCAGCATAATCATCTAAATGGCATCACACGCACTGCAAAAACGGAAACGGAAACGTTGAAAAAGCAATTGCCAATGCTCGTCGCCGACGCCGACGTCTATGCCAACGTTTAGTAAACAGTTGCAATTTATTGGCAGCTGCAATTATTTGGCAAACTTGCTTCATGCCAATTATGCCGCAAGTTGAGCATGAAAATTATGACATTACGCAAAAGCAAAGCACGTGGCTATGTTATAATGTACACATGAGCAAGTATATACATATACATATACATATATATATATATACATATGTGTCCATTGAGTTTGAGTGTTGCCACAAATCACAAAATGTTCATTTATGCTACCGCCTAACAGATTAAGCGCCATGCAAAAATGCATCCGCGAGTCGAGCGAATCGAGTCGAAGCCTGGTCAGCTGTCTGCAATGGTTGAGTGTGCCATCTATCGGCTGCTGCCACAAATTTGATAAATGCAAATTTTACGCTTTCTGTATGAAATGAAAGCGTACTAATTGCTGCCAACTAGCTAAAGCGACCCAGCAAACCCAGTTTACTCGCACCAACAGCAGAGACCTCGCACACCATTCCATTCACCATGTAGAGGGAATCCTTTGTGCTGTGCCACGCCCTGTAGCAACATCAGTAGCAGAAACAGCAGAAACAGCAGCAACAATTAATTGCCATCATTTTTTAGAATCTTTTCATGCGCTTCATTTCAGTATCACTTCCCATTTCCCTTCCCTACTCGGTGCTCGCTCAAATTCCCATTGCCGAGCTCCCTTTACTTTCGTTCCGTCTCGAGGTGCAGTTAGCTGTAATTTCTGTATTATTGCTACCAAAATTCTTTGTGTAATGCACCCCATGTTTGCTAGCCCATTCTCAAGCCACGCCCCTTGGTCTACGCCTCCCGTTGCCGTGTTGTTTATTGCGTTGCAACTTCCGTTACAAACGAAGATAAATTGTTAGCTTTTTTTTGTTGTTGTTCTGTTTTTCTTTTGGTGTTTATTGTTGCTGTTGTTAGTGTTTTCGTTAGTTGTTCTTGTTGTTTGTTTGTTGTGTTTTCGTTTTTCTATTTGAGTTTGGCCAACAGCTGTTGCTGCTAAAATTGCACCTCCTTTTGGGGCTGCACAGTGGAAGTGCCACAAAAAACTTTTCAAAAATGACGAGATGGTTTTATTGCTTATAAACGACTACTGACAGTTAAGCAAATAATATTGTATGCGTTTTTAGCTGGCTATCAGCATTCAGCTCAAAATGAATTATAAGTCAAGCTCGATCCGCAGCAAAACAATCTCAAAATGTTCAGTAATCGTGACTGAATCTTATCATTGCATATAATCGATTTGGGGTCATAGTTTGAGTCTATTTGTTCTCACGTGCCGTTTCCCGCAACCCGATTCACAAAACACTAAGCAAAAGTGAGCCTGGAACACATTTATGGAGTCAGCAGTCTGAATACTAAGCACAGCATATACAAAGCATATACAAAATACAAATTAGATTTAACAAATGTATAGCCCATATATACAACTGTGTAAGTATTTTATAAATTGGTGGGGAATATTAGCTTCTGGAATACATTAGACGTAAGAGAAAATCCAAATCATTGTTTAATCGGTGGCTAATCTATAAAGAAATAAATATTTCTTTATCATAATTTCAATTGGTTTTCAAGCCATCTACAACTACATATTTAAGTATGCTTAAATATTTAATTATTACTCTTGTGTAAAGATGAGTTCAATAAACCTATTTAGCTTTGAAATCAGTTCATATTTTCATTTAATTTGTGTTTGCGCACAAATTCATTAAATAAATATGAAAAGGATAAAAGCAAGTTTACATTTTGTGGCACAAAACCCTGCATCTTACCATCTGTGGCATAAGTAATCCAAAATTTTTTACGAAACTTGCAACTATTTCCGCCCTTACGATTTATGCGAGCAACCCCCTCATCAGTTCCTCCCCCCGTCCACCGCCAGCTTGTTTGAATCTTAACTGTAAGCTGCGTCTGCTGTTCGTCGTCGTCGTCGTCTCGAAAATGTTGCATTTGCTTTTCAGCATGACTTGATTAATTATTTGTTACAAGCACATTCAAACTAACAAACAAACACACACACACACACACACACACATACACACACTTGCTGTATATGTATTAATATGTATCTATGTTTTTATTTTTGGTGCTGGCGGCTAGCGATAATCTCGTACATTGACCGCTGCTCGTACACTCGAAAAAAATCATCGTGACTTATAGGTTTTTATACTTTTGACGCCAAATGTAACGTTATCATTAAGAATGTTTATCTTAACTTTATCTAAGGTTTGCTTTATTGGTATTAAATACTATTAATAAACATTAGTATTTTAAGAAAAACATTTTAAATAGCTTATAAATTCAAATAATTTAATTTGATAAAACTAACGATTTTACGACGATCCCTGAAGTTATTTCTAAAAACAAGATCAATGTTCATGGCGATTTTCTACAATTTTTGGGCGATTTTTTTGCGAGTGTAGCTTGGCGTTAATCTCACTAGACCCAGTAGCATTAGGGCGAAGCTCGTTAACTGTGTCGACGTCCACTGATAAGATAAGCGCATGTTTCAGTAGCGATGGCGACAGCTCGAGATAGCTCAGCTAAGCCCAGAAGCGGAGCAGATGGCGGTCAGTCATGGAGCGAGCACTAAACGGAACGCGTCAACTGCTCGCAGTAGTTATAAGCTGCTGCTTGTGCTTCAGTTTGAGTGCGGCACAATTGTCGCTTGCAACACATGATGCGGCCAGCATCAAGGATCTGAATGAGTTGGGCTCCCACTATCTGCCCGCTGGCTATGCAGCGATTCAACCGAACGTGACACTCGACGATCTGCAACGCCTGATGGAGCAGAAGTGCCTGAAGGCGAACGCACCTTTGCCCGCCAGCGAGGTGAATGCGACGAAACTGACCGCTGATATACAGCAGGCAGCTGGCCGTCTGATGCAGTGCATCAATGGGCTGGTCAATATCAGCGTAGTCATGGACGAGGTGGAGACGGCGCGTCCTCGCGGCGATCTTGATGTTGTCTTTGAAAAGTACTGCCTGCGAATGCCGCGTGCCCGCGAATGCATCACGGATTTCAATGCGGCCCTGTTGCCATGTATGACGCGCGAGGAGCGCTCGCACAATGCGATGATGCTGCGCATCATGGGCAAGCTGCTGGATTTTGTGTGCTACAAGAATGGCGATCAGATCGCGCTCTTTATTGCCGAGGAGGGGCCAGAGTGCTTTCAGCAGCACAAGGACAATGTGGGCAGCTGCTTGCAGACCAGTTTTGGACATTATCTGCCCAGCCAGCTGAACATATCGCAAGTGCAGCTGCCAGATCTGGTGCTCGGACCGCGCCAGTGCACCGAATTGCATGACTTCGAGAGCTGTGTCGTGCGCCATCTGGAGACGTGCAGCAACATCACGCCCAGCAACATTGTGGAATCAATGTTCCGCTATGTGCGCAAGGAGTCCAACTGCCAGCAGGTCATCGATCGCGTCACCCGGGAGAGTAACGAGGCTTTGGCTCAGAGATCTGGCGCTGCCAGCACCTGGAGCGCCTCATTGACTATTGCAGCCCTGGCTGTGCGCGTTGCCTCTGCTTACATATTATAATATTAGTAAGAATACTTCAAGTGCGATTACATGCTTACTTTGTTTTTTTTTTTTTTTTTGCATTAACTGTGTGTATTTTATAATTATTTTTAATAAAGTCCACGCTGCGTATGCGCAATGTGTCCGTAAGCCGCTTAACGGCTTGGCCTTAAATGCCCGCCAGCTGAAAGGAGAAGTTCCAAAGTGTTAAGTTAAAAGCTGCATAAACACAAGCCTGAAATATGAATAGAAACCAGCCAGCAGCAGCAACCAGCAGCCAACAGCAGCAACCAGCAGCCAACAGCTGCCAGAAGCAGCCATTGCTTATCGGCTAGTTAGCAGCCGGGTCAGTTGTCCGTCCGTCGTTCGCTCTGTCGTTCGTTGTCCGTTGGGTTTGCTGACTGGGCCGGTGTCTTATCAGCGACTCGCTGGCAAAACAATGAGAATGCTATGGTACACTCAGCAAAACAAAAATATGCCTTAATAGAATGCTGAACATCAGCTTCCATTATAAATTTTTTTTTAGTGCATTTCTAAAACAATATATTGCGTCTCTCTCAATTTAAGTGTTTTTCATTTCATAATTTGATTGTTGTTTTACGAATTTGAAAACAACTTATAAGCTTTCATGGTTGAATTTGAAAAAAAGGCATACTTGACTTTGATTCTAACTCGGAGACCCACATTGCTATTCTGTTGAATTCTGAAATCTAGAACGATTTTCACTCTATGTTCTACGGCACATTTTTTCTGAGTGTATGGATGGGTGTCAGCTTGCAGCTTGCATAAACTGTGAGCAGCATGTAATTTTGAAAAATTTTAGCCAAGTGAGGCGCACTTTGGACTCTGGAATGCGATAGCTGGACTGGTGGCCTGATTGACCAGCTCATCACTCTTGGAAGCAAATTGGTTTGGCAGTCAAGTCAAATGCTGCCTCAAGATTACCTCGCACTCTCGCTATCTCTCTCTATCTCTACATATATATATATATCTCTTCAGCTCGTAAATCGTAAAAAATTGCGTATAAATCTAAACGAAAGGAGCGAGAAAAAGCGCAACTGTCATCATTTCATAAAGAGAGCGACAAATGCGGTACAGTAAAGTTCAATACTTGTAGCTGGACGTGAACGTGAAAGTGGAAGTGGTCATGGTCGATGACGATGACTATGACGATGACGACGACATCTTTTGGAACAGTCGAAGCGTGAAATGAATGAAGTTTTACATGGCTTAGTTCAGTTTCTGTACGCATTTTTTTCTCATTTCACTGGCATGGTCTTAAATGGATTGGGCAACAAATGAAATGGAATGGGCCCGGTAAAGATGAGAATTATATTTTTTTTACTTATAAGTAAATGATTAGCACAACATTTTGGTGACTTAGTCTGTTGTGAAGTGGAACGAAATATAATAGCATGGAGTGCATTGAAATGGTAAAGTTTTCCTTTTATATTTAAATAGTGATCATTAAGTGATATAAAATGCAATGTAATGGTCTGTATTAGAATGGAATACAATTTGTTTGATATTGATAAAAAACGATAAGCTATAGATTGGTCCAATTCAATTAATCCCTCTTTATCATTAAATTATTTTCGATATTTTTTAATATCAACTTTTTTGTTTGCGTAAATCTGATTACTTAAAACTGTCAATTGAACACTCAAAATGGATTTAGCTTCTTAAAATTTATTCATCGTATTTCATTTCCCATCAGCTGAGAGCCCTGTGCACCAAGCACCAAGCACCACGCACCAGCAATCAGCAATCGCATTCAGAGTGGCTGAGGAGGAATGAAGGGGCCAAGTTGGAAGTGTTTCCTCAGTTAGTTGGTTAGTTAGTGAACTGTTTGAAACAGCTAACAAGTCATAAATGTTAAAAACTTAATTAGGCTTGCAGACAGCAGTCCGTTTCGGTGCTGCCTCTATTCTCTATTCTCAATTCACTATTCTCAGTTCTCATCCTTCTGCTTGCCAGTTGGAGGTATGTGGCAGAGCCATTCATGTTTGCCAATGCCCATTGGCAGTGGGTAACGGGCGCAGGCACTTTATTATTGATGTGAAAAATGCGGAAAATGAATGTGTTTCCGGTGCTTTTCGCGAGTTGCCCGCTAAATTGCAGCGGCCATGAATCATTCGACTTCGGCGGCAACTGCGACTTCAAATTCAACTTCAGTATGAGCTTCAACTTAGCATTCCCCATTCACCATGTAGACAAACTTTGTACGTGCAACGCGCAATGTTGTCAGCCAAAGTGTAGCGAAACTGGCAAAGCCTGAGCAAAAGCAGAAACCTTCGGTGGGGGTGGAGTTGTCTCAAAACTTGGCTGAGCAAATAATTGCACGTCATTGGCCAAATTATTGGCTCTGCATCGGGAATGAGGCAAATGGCAAGCCAAATAAGTTAAGATTCAAGCGAAGTCTAAAGTCCAAAGTTTAAAAATAGAAAAGAACAAGCAAACAATATATGAACAAAACAAAAAAAATAAATGGAATAGAACTATTAGGAAAATTCGTTGAGTTGCCATTGCATTTTTCCAAAAACAGAAACTTAAAAAGTGAATTTTTCGATTATTTTTTCAAGAAAACGTATCTTCAACTTTTGATGTAGAATGATGTATAAAGAGGGTTTCATAAAAGTAACTCGGAGTTAGGATAATTATTGGCGAAGATTTAACAGTTTGCATTTGAATTTTTCCAAAAAATAAACTTAAAACATGCATTTTTGGATTTTTTTTCAAGAAAACGTATCTTTAACTTTTTTTTTGTATGTAGCAATTATATTTAAACATTAATCAACCTATTGAAAGGTTATAAAACATTGATTTGTATGAATGAATAATAGCAGTGAATTTAAATCTACAACATAAACATAAAACTGGTTTTACCAGATAATAAATAACGAGGATAAATCAGTTTGAATTTGAATTTTTCCAAAAAAAAAAATACTCAAAATGTGATTATATAAAAAATACACTCAGAAAAAAGATTTTAGAAAATCACTGTGAACTTAAACTATAAAATAATTTACATATATAAGTCGTCAAATAATTTACATTTATAACATTCAATAAAAATTGTGCTTTACTCAAACGGACACCTTGCCTATCCGAGAAAGAGAGCAACAGATAGATAGAGAAATATAGATATAGAGAGAGAGGGAGAGAGAGAGAGAGAGAGAGTGTGAGAGAAGGAGGGAGAACTTAATATTATTCTATAGGCAATGCTATAAGTGATCAGAAATACAATATCCATCTACATACATGTCCTGTCTTGTTGTTCGTCCTGCTGCACGTCGCACAGCTTAAGTTTGTTACATATTGAAGGCACGTATGCCTCTCTATGTCTGTGTGTGTGTGTGTATCCAGGTGTGTGTTTGTGTGTGTGTGTGTGTGTACTTTTGCGCTTTTGTCTGTGCCTGTGCGAAGCGACATGTGTGTGCATATTGGCTTTACGCATGAGTGTGTGAGGGATTTGGCAAAGTGTTTGTGTGGAAGTCTGAAAGACATCACAGCCGGTGTCTGTCTGTGTGAGTGTGCGTGTGTATGTGTGTGTGTATGTGTGTGTGTGTGTGTGTGTGTGCGTGTATGTAACGTATGTGTGTGCGCTTGTTGTGAATGTGTGGCCATATTTGGTATCCACAAAGTACGTATACTTTGGGGTCTAATTTGCGGTTGCTGGCGCAGCTCAATTTACAAGTGAGAAATTAAGATGTCGACAAAACTTTTGGCCGAACACCTCAATGGTGGCAAAGCAGATGCGCACACTTCAACCCCAACCGAACTGCTCTCCCCATCCGCTTTTTTAGTGGAGTTTAAAAACCGCAAGGTGGGCATGCTGAGATGCCACAAAGTCTGAGTGTTATTGCCGCAGTAACCAATGCACTTTGCAACTCTGTTTCGCTCTTTCGTGTTCTCGAGCTGGGCTACAAAAAAAAACTTCCAGATGCCGAAGCAGCGGTCAGCTTACACATAGAGACACAATCAAATATATATAGTTATTACTCTGAGAGTATTTTATTTGTAAAGTTCTGAGAATCATTTAAAAAACAATGTCTCGAACGAAATGTTGCCATCATTAAATCACAGTTGAGGCATCTACACAGAAATCTTGTTAACTATTAACAACTGCACTTTTCGAAATTCGCAATTCTCTTGGGGTTTTTCTTTTTCTAATTCCAGGGTGTTTTAGACACATTAAGTATTACTGAATGCGTACTTAGATGTCATAGCACATGGATTGTTAAATCTGTTGCATACTTTTACGTCCAATTTTGTTCCGATGATTTCAATAGCTGCAAATGGTTTTTGTGATTTTCAAATAAAAGAAAATATTTAAATGCAATTCTTATGTGATTTCTCGAATATTTGCAGCAACTCAATTAGTTTGACCTCGTTTCAGGCTGCAGATTCCTGAGATTGTAAACAATTGAATGCTCGTAAAGCACATTGGTGCACTTCAATTAAATTTCATATATTTTTTAGCTGCGCGATGAAAGCTGCTCATAGTCATTTTGTAACACTGATTCCACAGCTCGCCAACGCCTGCTATTTTCAGCTAGTCCCACTGGGGCATAACTAGCTACTTTAAATTTGATGAAAGCGGCATATTAAATTTGTTGACAGCACTCAGACGCAGTCAAAAAACAAAGCGAAACACTCGTAATGAGATTAAAGTCAGCCCTTTGTGGTGGGTGTGGACTGTCCAAAAATTATGCATAGATACTTGATGGGCTGGCTGGGGACTGCTGTGCCGTCACATGCGGCGTATACGCAATGTCAGCAAATTTCCCACAAATTGCAAAATTTTAAACGGATGCTGTTGTTATAATTGTTGTTGTTGCTTTTCGCTGTTTGTTTTTATTTTTTGTTTTGGTGGTCTTTGCTCAACGCAAACTTTATTAATTGCAGCCGCAAGCGTTCCTAATCCACGCCCAGCAGCGCTTGAAACTATTAAAATGCGCTATTTTCATTTTTATAGTATACCTTGCACATTTCAAACGCGCTGAATCGATGATATATATAATCTAAATGAAAAAGTGCACTTGATTGAACTTGGAATTGAGCTTGCTTTCTAAAAACATTTCACGAATACATTACTTTTATGTACAAATTAAAACTGATTGAAAATGTTATTTTTGTTTACAGAATATGCCGTAGTTTGTTACATTTGTGTGTTATAACTTTTATTTGAATTTATTTATTTTTTAAATTACGCTTATTTGTGCATATTTAATTGAATTCCTCAAACACATGATGCATAACTATTTTTGTTGTTGTTTTTGTTTTCTTTTTTTAAAAAGGTTTTTTGGTCAACAGTCAACGAACTTTTCTAATTATTTGCGCGCTAAGCAAAAAAGTTGACAGCTTTTAACCATGTGCTGGAAAATTTGCATAGTTTGCAACTGACATTCTGCTAAAAAGATTGGGCTGAAATGTGGGGGCAAGGGATGCTAGAGGAGACTGATGCACATGGTGTTAATGGATATAGTTCAGCTAGCTTTCGATGATTTTTTAATATGCACAATAATGCACAAAAATATTAATTTTAATAATAAATTTAGGATTCATTTATTATAGCAATGTAAATATAAGATACGAGTATTGTAAGTATATAAGATATTTATTTGCACAACTGTGCCACGGATTTCTCATCTAATCTTTCTCTGCACATTTTCTTTATGTTAAATGTACAGTGTCAATTGTTTTAAACATTCCGAACATAAACCGCATACTCGTACACCAACTAAAATATGCACAATGACAGACATGTAAATTGCGTGAAAGTTGATTGCGTTACATATTTGAAATCATTCGTAATCATTGAAAACATTGGTAATCATTTCCAATCGAAACTTCGACCAATAAAATCTCAATTGTCACAATTGTCGATTTAGTGACATCTGTGAGCGAACCAAACCCACCGACCTGGTTTGACGTGTGTCTGTGCACGATGGGGGCAGGATCTGTGGTGGCACGTGCACCATTTCACTTGTTTGGTGTTTTCCAGCAAAATGAAACACAAAATAAACGAAAAGTAAATATATCTGTAATGGGATTGCTGAAGGCTGTTCCAGTTTCTACGCTCAAGGCTGGAGGCTCGCTGTTTTTGGATATTATGTTTTAGTAATGGTTTCGGTTTCGGGTTAAGGCAATTGAGAACGAGGCCAACACCAAGTTCCGTTGTACGCTCTGCATAAATTGCATAAATTGACAAATTCGTTTTGACTAGTTGAGGACGATTTCGTTACACACATTTCTTTTTTTCCATTTGGCAGCAAGTGTCTACTGTCTAAAACCCCCCAACTCTCCCGCTCATCTTCTTGAGTTGACAACCAGCGATAACAGCATGGCAAGAAAATAAACCAATTTGGCTTTTCGAACAAAAAATGCGGTTCCAATTGTTAAAGCATCAGATCAGGACGATGATGCAGTAATAATTCTCAATAGCTTCCATTACAAGCAAAATTGTGTGGGCTTTGCTTGCATTTGACAACCCTCAACCCAGAACCCTCAAATCTACTCCTCTTCTGTGCTCAATGTGCGTGTGTGTGTCTTGTTTGAGGTAACTGTGGCATCGTTTTACGGATTGTTTTGCTAGCTCAGCTCAAGGGCTTAGTTTTTCAATTAGTTTGATGTGTGGCGGTCTCATACATTTTTGAGAAACAGTAAGAAAATAGAGATTAAGTGATTGCAATTGAAAAATGAAACTTTTAATACCCATTATTGCTCAGATCCAAAACAGTATGTTAAAAGAGCTTCAATTTAATAATCGAATTGGGGACAGCTTTGACACATTAGTTTTTATTGATTTAATACGTCGCAGAATGTGCAATTTATGCAATGCGCCATGGGAAATTGATTTATAAACAATTTTCGAACGCACTATTTCAAATTTATGTACAATTGCAAGCCTAAATAAATGAGTTATTTTCAATTTAAGGGGATCGGATCAATAATAAATTTGGTGCATCAAGTAAAATAATAATATTCTGGAAAGTGCTGTCACCGATCAATTTATTTTACCCTGAACGCATTGAAAATGATTAAATAGAATAAAAAGCATCTCTATAGAGGAAAAAGCATCTCCGACCCCAAAAATATTATTGATCGCAATTGGATTCCGAGTGATTTGGCCAAATCAGTGAAGAACTAGAAACTTAAAATTGGAAATGTAAGTTTATATCATCTCAGCGATAACATTTTTCGTTTTGTGTATATCGGTACAAATTGATTTCAGATATCGTTTAAAGCACAGTTTAAAATATATTTCTTCGTAGTCAGGGTAGTATTCATTTAACTTGACATGTTGAATATCTGTCAATATTTCATTGAGGTCGGGTGCATATTAACTCAAGTATAAATATAATGTCTCAAGTTCTTATAGTCTCAGAAATGTACGTATACTTAATTGGAGAAGATTTCATCTGTCTGAAACATAGATTTGCACACACTATACGGCTGATACTTAGAAATGAAGAGAAACAGATGCGGCAGCAGAGCTGGTCGGAGGCAGTAGGCCTCCGGCAAGCCAGATGTCTCCTAGGTGGTTATAATCTTAAGCGATTTAAGCAAGTTATAACCATGGGAAAGAACAATCTTAGGATACTTACCGGTCTAATGACGGGACACTGTCGACTAAGAAGTCACCTAACTAGACTAGGTATATATAGTAGCGATCTCAGCAGGTTCTGTGAAAGCGAGGAGGAATCCTCGATACACATCCTAGCAGAATGTGTCGCACTAGCTAGAAGAAGATGTAGTATCCTAGGGTTGCATGTCTTGAATTCTAGAGACATAGAAGACCTCAACCCAACAACGATCCTAGCATTCGCACGGGATCTGGGACTGATGGAGGAGCTGGAGGCTGAGAAGGGGGCATAATAGATCCAAACATTGATTTGCCCAACTTCAAAAAACCATTATTAACCATTTTTAAGCAGAAATTTGTTAGTCAACATTTTTATTATTTTTATGAAGAGCTGTATATAAATGGAATTAGGTCTTAATGTTCACAATATAGCTGGAAAATACATTTACTTAATAATTCAATTAGTTTATAGAGTATTACATTTTAAATATTTCCAATGACGGCAAGCACTGCAACCTGCACTGCAAGCAGCAATTGCCACCTGCCTTTGTGGCGCAATTCACACCACCTTTAAATCAAAAATCAAATTGCAAATTCGTCGTTCGTTCTCTTCTTGTTTCTTTATTCTTAGTTCAAATTTTTGTCTTCGTTTTTGTGACTTGTCTTATTTTAATTGCTTTTCACTGTCAGTGCGGTCGAGTGGCTGTCTCATTGCTTACCACGCTCTCGCCCACGCCCACGCCCACACCCACGCCCCCGCACCAAGAATCCCTTAACTCAGGCCATCCACTCACAGCTCTTGAATGGCATTATCTGGCGGAATGATTCGAAGCGGCAAAGTGTATTTTTCTGCATCTCTCTCTTCCAGCAGTTTTCAATTGAGTTTCGACTTTGCTTTCATTTTGGGGGCGAGGATAAAAAATGCTTTGCCACTTTGTAATTTAAATGAACCACACTCTCACCTGCACTTACATCGATTCTTAATAAGGAAAATTAAACCTGTGCTGCACACTTGGCCAAAGAAGAGCGCCATATGATGGAAACTATTCCATGACACTGCCATCTATCTGTCCATCTCTCTGTGCATATATGTCTGTCTGTTTGTCGGTCTATGCTGGGCTGTCGCTTTTGACAAATAGCTTGCAAAGAAATAACTGACAAAAATACACGTAGCTCAAGTGCAGCGTTGACACCTTGGCAGTTGGCAAAGAAACCAGGCAAATACTTTAAAGCCGTAGACAGAGACACCAACAGCATTTCTGACAGAGATGGGCGACCAACAACTATTTGCCGTATTTATTTTCAACTATGTGTGTGTGTGTGTTTGTATGTGTGTGTATGGCCCTTGAGAGTGTGCAAGTCTCGCTTGTCTCACTTGAGGAGGGCGTGACTGGAACATGGCTGCTGGCATTTAGCAGTTGTTGAAGCCTGGCTACACTTGGCTTCACTTTGCTGCTGCTGAGCTGCTTTTGAATTGCTTTTAGTTGAATTATGCGCCATTTGGTCATATACACAAACACACACACACACACACAGAGAGAGCAACAAATATAGAGAGAGAGAGACGCACCTGACTTTTGCTTGACAGCAAATTATTTAAATATTTGCCAAGCAACTCCCCAGATAGCTGCTAACGCGGCTAACATTGCTGACGTGGCCAACAGTCAGCCAGATGTCTGACTGCAACTGCAAATGTTTTGCATACGCCACACCGACTTCAATTATCAACATAATAGTTGGCAAACGCATCGCGCAGACAACACGAATGCAACATCCCAGCAATAACAAATGCAACAACCACAAAACACAAAAAAAAACAAAGCACAGGAAAAATGTGTTAATTAGTTTATAGCCGCCAGTTAGGCAAAACACGGGAAAATAGCGCTACGACCTGACATGCAGCAGTAGCAACAGCAGCAGCAACAACAACATCAACAGCACACAAAAAAAGCATTGAAAGGAATAGCAGCACCCACAACAACAACGAACACACACAACAAAATAGACAACGTAACAAAATTAGCTTTTTGGCGCACAACTAACACATAAAGTTGACTGAACTTGGCGCTTACGCAAACAAAGCTCATGTTGTTGGTACCCAAGCACCGAGGCAGGTTATTGATTGTGGATCAACCTTATTGTGGGAACAATCTGAGCAGGGTTGGCCCATAAAACAAGTTAGACAAATGCCTGCCAAATGCGCCTTACTTTGACATTTTCTTCCTATCAAACATCGGCAACTAGACCTGAGTGCAGAGATTCAATCGGCGGCCTTATTGGTTGCCATAATTAAGTTGTTAGACTGTGTAAAATATTTTTAGCAAGCGAACTGTATTAAATACAATCCATCGAAAATATTGTGTGAAGCATATTTTAGTTGTTCCTGAAATCTTGTCCAATTCTATATTTGGAAAAAATAATTAAAACTCTTTCTGGGTTTTATCATTTAGTAAAGGTTGTCTGCTTTCCAAATTGAAGCTACGTTCACGTTATTTTCCATATATGCCAACTGGTCCCACATTTTACAAATAAATTGACCAGGTGCTTTAAATTATTTTTAAAATTATTTTTAGCTTAAATGTTAATTAATAACAATTTCAATCTCAAAAAAATCAATATTTGCTAGCAGTATTTGATCGCTTAGCCTTAATGTATGGTATAGTGTAGTTAAAATAAACGTCTAGAATCGTAGTGACAGAAATCAGGCCGATGCTTGCCAAGATCGAGTGATCCTTGCATCTTATTTCTTACTCGTTTTGTCGCTGATCAGCTTTTTGCGCACCATCTCCGCGTGTAGCAGCGTGCCCAAGTGGCAGGGATTGAGGGCAATGACGACGCCCGCAGCTTTGAGTGCCTTCAGCTTGTCGGCGGCGCCTCCCTTGCCGCCGGATATGATGGCACCCGCGTGACCCATTCGACGTCCTGGTGGCGCCGTAATGCCCGCTATGAAGGCCACCACAGGCTTGGCCTCACAGCCGGTGTTGTGCTTGGTGAGATATTCGGCAGCTTCCTCTTCGGCGGTGCCGCCAATCTCGCCGATTAAGATAATGCCCTTGGTTTCCTTGTCGGGCAGAAATATTTTCAGTGCATCAATGAAATTTGTACCATTAAAGGGATCGCCGCCGACGCCGATGCAAAGAGTCTGGCCCAAGCCGACATTCGTTGTCTGATGGACTGCCTCATAGGTTAGGGTGCCGGAGCGGGAGACGATGCCAACTAAGCCGCGCTTGTGAATGTGACCAGGCATTATGCCAATCTTGCACTGATCTGCTGATATGATTCCCGGACAGTTCGGACCCAGCAGACGCGACTTTTCCTGACAATTGAGCATTTGCATAATCCGCACCATATCCATTTGCGGAATGCCCTCGGTGATGACCACAATGAGACCGATCTCGTTTTCAATGGCCTCGCAAATGCCATGCGCAGCATTTGGTGGCGGTATGAAGATGACTGTCGCATCCGGTTTCAGCTCCTTGACGGCCTCCTTAACGTCCTTGAACACGGGCGCGTCCAGATGCTTGGTGCCGCCCTTCTTGGGCGATACACCACCAACAATCTTAGTGCCGTATGCCTTCGACTCCGTTGAGTGGAAGGTGGCCTGCTTACCAGTGAAGCCCTGCACCATTACCTTGGTCTCCTTGTTGATCTTCAGGTTGCAAATGGTTTTTGAGTAGTCCGCCTTGCAGCGCACCAGCATCCGTTGAGCCGCCAAACAGCATCGAGCCCAACTTGAGATGTACATTTTAAAAAATTTTTAAATTACAGAATACTTTATTTTTGTTGATTTTGTTCCGAGCTGTTGAAATAAGTGAATGTAACAAAATGACCTATCGTAGCTAGGCATTGCCTCATAGCCAACTTTATGGCATGATTTCTACTTTTTTTCCTGTCAAGTTAAAAGATCTGCTTGCAAATATAACCCGTAAAGATCAGACTTATGCAACGAAGTTGGAAGTTGTTGGAATGACAAAATTAATATTAAAAACACGATTGTCTAGACACAAACTCGACATTCAAAAATGAAAAGAAACTAAAAAAATACAGCAATTGACCATTTTAGGCAGGGAGTAACCTGACAACAAAAGGTAAACTCTGGAAACTCTGCAGATAATAAATACAGATAGACATGTTAGACTTAATTTCTAAGAAGACCAACCAATTTCGCTCATTTAAATTTGTTAAAAACTCCACAACTGAATGGACGGACGCTGTGAACCTGTCCCTAAAAATTAAAAACCTTTTTTGACGAAGATATGGCTATTTAAAGTTTCAGCCAAATGCATGATTTTTAATCAAATTTTGATTTTTTCCGATTTAAATGCAGTTTTGTTCTCAAGAAGTAGAACTTTTTTTTTTAAATTTAAAGCTAAGGTCAAGCTCATGTTTTTTTTTTAAATATATTTTGTTTTTGCAGGATATCCCTTAATATCTTTCTTAGATGAGTCTGAAGTCAAAATGTATATTTTTAATGTATTTTTGTTTCAAAACTCAAACCAATTCTAAAAATACATGAATATATTTTTATATGCAGTTTTCTTCTAAAAATTAAACCAATTCGAAAAAGGCCCCAATTTTTGGCGAAGATATTGCCATTTAAAGTTTGACCCAAATTCATGATTTTTAATAAAATGTATTTTTTTCCCATTTAAATGCAGTTTTGCTCTCGAGGTCAAACCATAACTAGAACATTGATTTTTTTTTAAATTTTTACCAAGAAAAACTCTTAACATCTTTTTGGATGAATCTGGGGTCAACATTTTTGAATGCAGTTTTGTTCAAAGAATCAAAACAGCTCTGAAAAATCAAACTAATAATAATAAAAGCAAGCGAAAAACATAATTAAATGTGTTTAGTTTTATTTATTAAATCTCAATTACAGAATATAATACTCCAATATATAAATGTACGAATATTAAAAGCATTTTAAATGAATTGCGTCCTCTCTGAAAATATCAATTTAATCGACAGCTTCAACCTGGTTTGAGATTTCCTGCTGTGCAGGAATGCATATACTTGACATATAAAAGACTATGTGTGCACTTATATACATGCACAACTTGGGGCGGAGAGTCAAGAATAAATCATTTGCGTAGGCTCAGTGGCTGGGCGACTGTGAGGTTGGCTTGTTGGCTGACCGGAATGCAATTTTAGTTGGAATCGCAGCTGTAATTGCAGCGTACACTGCACTAAATGACTTCATCAGAGACAAATAAAATATCAATAATGTCAAAAGTGTAATAAATCATCGGCTTGCTGGTTTGAATATGGAGATCCGTTACCATCTTACTGGACAACACCTTACAGCCTCATCTTCTGATAGTGACCTGAACCGGCTCGCATGCATTCATTGACTGACAAACTTTCTGTGGGTGTGGCTGCAAGTAGTGGAGGGATTTTTTCATTTGACTTGAACCGCCTGCCGCGAAATGGAAAATGCTAATTTTTTATGTGCCCCGCATAAAAGTATGCAAAACTCACCCAACAAGCCAAAAACCGAGACCGAAACTGAATCGCGCCAAGCAACGGCAGAGCTCCCTTTTCCCATTCGCAACATTCCCGGCTCCATTTTGGTATTAAAGTGCCCACTAGAAATATGGATCTTATTTCTTAATCTTTTTTTGTGCTGAAAGTACTTATGCCTAACTCTTGCCTGCACTGATGAACTTTCTCAACTTATATGCGAGCTTTTAAATAAAATATAATACGACCATCTCAAGAATTTGATTCGCACACAAATGTTTGTAAGCAAAAGTGTGAAAAATATAATAATATTTTATTTATATCTGCACTGCTTTAAAGGGATACCTTACACATGTTAAATAAATGCAATGTACACATTTATTCGCTCACAATGTTTATTTTAATAATAGAGGCATGCATACACCTAATTTATTTCAAATTATTGTTATTATTATTACATTATTTCTTTTGACATTTATTTTATTTTTTATTTTTTTGCTATGAGAGACAATTGGATTTGCCATTGGGTCAATGCATATCCAATGGTTTGGCCCTGTTGGCTCTTCAGTTGCGCTCCATTTGTTATGCATTTCGTTTCGTTGGTTTTTGCAGTTTCATTTTTGATTGCAAATACAGGTTTAATTGTTGTTTTTGTTACTGCTGCCGTTTTTGTTGTTGTGCAGTCTATGTGCGCATAAAGTAGATCAAATTTTGCACGTGCATATACTATATACACTATATATATATATACATGTATATCAATACATACATAGCCATTGCATAGGGATGCACACAATTATCGTTAAAGCAGGACGTGACTCTAGCACGATCACGACCAGGAGCACGAACCACAATTAAATTCCGTGGAAATGCGGATAAATGAAATGGGCAAGAGCTGGTTGAAGCTTTCGTTAGTTTTCACTTCATAACAATCTTTTTTAATTCGAACATGCCAAATTGGGCTGCATTTATTTATTTATATGCATGTAAGGCTAAACAATTATTTTATATTATATTTGCAACTGTGTTGAGTCGTGACACAAACGAACATAAACACTAAACACACTCAACTTGGTTACACAAATATTTTTACAGTGGCTGATGCTCCTGATGCAAATGTTGTTGTTGTTGTTGCTGTTGCTGCTGCTGCTGGCTGCAGGCGTCGGCCATTGGTCATTTTGGCCATTGACAATTGTCATTTATAAATTTCGTTTGCAATTTTGTCGGCCAGCGTCATAACGAATAGCTCGCCAGCTCGCCAGCTCAATGATTGTTGATTTTAATTTATTATTGTTTATTGATAAAATGTACGCAGAAATTTGCATAAATCGATAAACAATGGCACACACAGAGTCATAGCCAAAGTATAGTTATAGGCCAAGCGTCAAGCCATGGCCAGGAGCCACAGAAAAGAACAGACCAGAACAGAACAGAACAGAACAGAATGCAAATACGAATGCGAATGCGAATGCGAGCGCCATACGCCAATTTAGATATTTATGGCATTTTGGGGCAATGAAGGAGCTGCACGGGGATCCCAGGCATTTCCGCTCCAAAACGGTGATGCCAATGCAACTGGTTTCAACTTTTGGTGGCGTCTATGCTGTTGTTGCCATTGCCGCTCCCGCTGTCGGGGGTTGATGCCGATGCCGATGCTGATGCTGATGCTGATGCTGCTTTAGCTTTTGCCACTGTGTCGCTGTTTGTGTTTTTGCTTTTGCTTTCAATTTCCGCACAGTATTTTACCCAATTAACCAGATTTTGCTTTTGTTTGTTTTGAAACCAGTCTCGTTGCAGGCCCAGGAGCAAAATAAGTAGGTTGACTAGGGATCGGGTGTTTGTGTTTTTGCGTTAACACAACAATGGTCAAAAGGGATAGCCAAATGCTTGCCAATAGCAGTATCTAGTATTTTCTAGTTGGCATTCAGCGGAAATCGTGTGGTTGTTGCCGAACAAAATGAGCAGGGAGTCGGGGCAACATCAGCACATCTGTGGGCTGGTTATTGTATTTGGCCCCAAACCATGGGCAATGCGAATAGCTAAATGGCTTAAAACTGAAATTGGCGGCCATTTCGCATGGAATGATTTCGGGACATTCTGTTTTCATCTATCTAATTGCCGAAGAACACTGGCAGATATAAAATAACTTAGCGGGCAGATTTAAGCGTGACTAAATACTTACATTATATATAAATTATATATTTCTCGCCATATTAAATATAAAGCTATAAATTGCAGTGAAAGAGTAAAGTAAGAAAAATCCTCCAGCAAGCATCACGTGAGAAATGCTGAATATTCCTTACCTCGTTCAAGGATTTCATTAAACACTCTTGGAGCATAAAATATTCGAGTCCCTTGAGTTACTCGATACCGATTCGATTCCACAGCGCAATTGAACTAGGGTCTGGTTACTCACTTTGCTTCATCCTGGCCAAATTTAAATCTATTCCAGCGACACCATCACAATTTAAAATGTTTCGATTCCGAACTGTATAGCTTATATTATATTCTTTTAAATTTAGATGCCAGCTGATTACCTCCAGTTTACAAGGGTATGCAATCTTCGGCGTATACGTATTTATAACAGTTTACCTTATCCTAGTCATAGAGTACAGTGGCATCAAAACTTTTGCTTATCTTCTAACGTCGTCGCTATGCACCCGATGCCAGTCTCAATCCTAACTTTGCTCTAGAAGTTTTCAATTGCCACGTTCCCGCGTTCAAGCCTGAACAAATGGCCGACACCAAACTGTTTTTCCCGATATCCGCTTGGGATTTGTTTTGGTCCAAAGAAAAGTTGGACGACAGCATTGCTGCATACATAGATATATCAATATCTATGCATACGTGCCTCTGTTGGACAACAGAGATAACTTATTTACCCACGCACACAATTAATTAAAGGAAGAAAAAAGCAATATGAACTATGATGAGGATCAAACGTTATCTCTGCGAAACTCGATCGAAGACACTTGATTTTTTCCTTATAAAATTGAAAATCAAAATAATAATATTTTTTTCTTTTTTGGTTCCACACTCGTTAGCTATTCTAAACACATGTCAAATTAAAAATAAATTAAATTGTTTACTCTAACAAAATATTTTTCTATTAAAGGCACTGCTAATGAATGAAATGTAGAAATGACTTCAAAAAACAAATTAATAATGTGACCAACGTCCATATTTGTTTATGACTTCAAAAATTCGATTTCAACAACTTTTTAGAAGTGATTTGGGACCATTCCTTAAAGACGGCCTTTCGTAGCTGCTCAACTGTCTCAAACTGTCGATTACCTGTATAAACTAGACGGC